TTTTCTTTATCAAATAGTGTTATTGTACTCTTTGTAGCTATTGTTGTTTCTATGGAAGTAAGTAGAAGGCATTACTTTGAGAGCAACTAACACCATAAATAACAATAATTGATCTGTTGTAATCACTGTAGCAGGGTATTGGGTAGGTAATTCTCACCTGCAAATGAGACAAGGTTTGTGACAGTCTGAATGCCAGATTCTTCCTGACGTACAGAAATCTCTTTGAAATCCCAGATAACAGCAAATATTTATTAAATTTAATAATCAAACTGGTGGCCTATTCAAATTCAAAGGACCAAGAAAAATAAGTTGTTCTTTCTACAAGCATTAAAATTAATTGTAAATATGCAAATATATCAAGTAGAGAAATAACTAAAGGATGTGTTGTGAATTTTTAAAGAGCTTTCATGCAGAGGTATTTACCTTTTACTATATTTAAACAAATATAGATCTTATGCTGCCAAAATTTAAATCTTCAGGATTAAATAAACAAGAAACTTACAAAGGAGTAATCACTCCAACGTGGGACTAACTGAAAAAAAATAACATTTTTAGAGATGTTTAGAGTTTAAATAAATTAGTGTGATCACTTCAATAGGAGATTATCTTAATAGCCTCTGCTTAACTCACAACAATGTCCTGAATAGAAGACCGAAGGAAGTGCTGAGTAATAGGGAGCTGAAGGAAGAAAAATAGTGATCCTGTCACAAGCTGTATTACTCCTACAAGAAAAGGAATACCAGTGTTTTTGAATAGTTGTGGTTGTAGCCTGAGTAGCAATGAGCAGGTTAGTTGGGCCCCAGCTGTAGATTCCAGGTTGAAATTTGGACTGAATGCTAGTCGTGAAGCCTGTGGGAGAATGAATATAATTTCTTTACCAAACTTTTTGTTTGTTCTGTATATAAAGATCAACCACCCCCCCCAACTCCATCAACCCTTTGGTAGGGCACTTTAGACTTGGAAAATCTTTCAGAAATTTGAAGGCAGGTGGTTCAAATCAGTAGCAGTTGGCCCAAAGTAGCAGAGATGGATAACCTCTGGTCTGGATAGGATTTCAGCATGTGCTTAAAGTAAAGCACATGGTTCTGTGGTTGTTCTGTGCGTATTTTTTGGTGTGGGTTCCTTTTTTTTAATACAGTGATTTGTATAGATGTGGCTTAAATGAATGTGACTGAATCTACATTTTCAGTTTACACCATATTGTTACAGTTCTGTAAAATACTGAACTTTGATCGTAGTATAACGTTTCCCTAACTCTTTGGAAGTTCTACATTTTTCTTCAGTGCTTGGTTTCTTGAACCAACATTTCTATTAGAATTCAGTCTAACATTCTAGCAGTTATTCCTTGCCATGTAGAACATATTCATTCTTAATAATCTTGCAAAAAATTAATAGCAATGTAGTTGACAGGAAATGAAACAAGGTATGTTCAGGAAAATAAATTTGACTTGTTGAGTTCCCTTTAAAGACGGTACTGTTTGTAGATACAGAGAGCAGCATTATGTTGGCTGTTAACACTTTGACTTATTTGCAGGTGCAGTGCTTGCTTCATATTGTGGCAATGTGGTTTACAATTTTAGCTCTGTAATCATATACTAATTTTTATATAAATTATTACCGTAATGATAGTAAAGATGTTAAGAATTCATCTTATGCTAGTATGATTCTGTTTTTTTTTTTTTTTAAGAACAGTATCTTGGATGCAGGTTTGACTATATCTGTGCTGAAGAGTACGTCTATACATTCATATACGTATATAACAGTGTATATATGTGAATCTAGACATGCATGTACACAGGTGAGCATGCAGAAATTCACATCCCTGGCTATTCAGGGGATGCAGAAACAAAGTATGATAGAAATGTTAAGCTGCATACAAAAAGTTTATTGAAATAAGGTCATGGTGTATTAAACGATATTGAAATTAATCTAAATAAAGGGTAGAGTGAAGTTTCATGTTTGGAGCGAGCTGTTGTTCCTGTAGGCAAACTACGATATTTTTCTTACTTAAAAAAGGTGTTTTGATTGCTGTAAAAAAAAAAAAATAAAAAATCAGTGTCATTCCTTTCAGTTGCTCTCGACAATTAACTATTCTTATGTATACATGCTATTCCTTCCAGACAATCTGAAGAGCTGAGTTCCTACATTGACTGTCTTAAGATGATATTCTGCTTCTAGACAAATCTCTAATGGATCGGATTAATTACAGTTCTTGGCTTAATAAGTTTATGTTGTATATGGGCATCTGGCAGAATGTGATCTAATGAAAACTGGAACAACTTTAGAAATGTAATAACCACATTTTTTTCAATAAGCCAGAAACTTTAAGTCTGTGAAAGTGTAAGTACGTACATTTTACATGCAGAAAATAATGAAAATTTGCACTGCCTCAATCCGAAGAATTTAGATGTTTCACTAATCACAATTAACTTCTTTGGTGCATTGGTTCAATTTAATGATGTTGTCAAGATAGTAGAATTATTACATTCTTCATCAAATATGTCATGTCAGAAAACAATACTTTCTAAGTCTGGAACTCTGCACAAATAGGGTCCTTCTGCCATAACAACCATGCAACAAACATGGTCTGCACTTTCTGGGTAGTCAGACCAGTGGAGAGGAGTGAGTAATGCTGATGGGTATTTAGTCGTGTCATCCTGGAGGAAAACAAAAATGAAAGGGAAAAGAAAGGATGTGAGAGAGGACAGAATGGGCTTCATCTTATCAGTGAATGACTTTCCCCTGGCCTACTGGAGATTTGTTGGCATGTTGTTGGAGATGCTTGTTTTTTCCTTTGAAGGTTTAGTTGAGGTTTAGTGTTTGCCTTTCTTTGTCCATTTCAGAGCTGTTTCCTTTCACTTCCTTGCTTGTGTTTTGACAGGAAATTGCGTGATGCCTTAGGCTTGGGATTTGTTTCAATGTGCTTGCTTTCCACTAGTTTTGGGGGGAAAAGTATTTTTATATTGTTTAGCCCTTTGATTTTGAAGAAGTGAAAGCTAAATTCAGATGAAGGCTGTCCACGTTTGAGAGCAGCTCAGTTTTAAGAGAGAGGTTCGAAAGGGGAAAAACAGATCAAATATTGTTAATTCAACTTCAGATCCTGTTCACCCATTTCAACATTTAGAATCAACTGATATTTCTTCTTTAAAGCTTTTTAAAATGCTTTTTTCTTACAATGTACAACAAATTATTCCCTTTCATTACCTCTTGTATTTGTGCTGAATGCATATGAAAGTATTTAAGGAAGAAACTTTGAGTACAGAGTGAATGAAGCAAGAGGTATCATTTGTGCTTTGAGGGTCAAATAGTTTTTGTCTGCATTCAGTACGACATGCTGTTTGTATATCCTGTATGTGACACATTTGAAAGAGAAACAACAAGTACGTAGGTTGCTCTGAAAGTTATGCCTCCTATTTGTTTTCAAAGAAACTACAACAGGTACAGAGACCACAATAACTCTACTTGATAGAGAAAATTCTCAGTTACAGAGCACTATTTTTTCAGCATAGTTACCACCATCACCACCACCATTAGCTATGCACTTCTGCCAGTGGTGAACTTAAGCCTTCATGCCACGCTTGTAAAAATCTGCACCAGTGGAGGTGACCTGCTGTCACCACTGCAGAAATGCACTGCTCACCATCTCAGTGTGCTCACATCCACTGGTTGGACTCCATAAACATTCAGCGAGCATCAGTGAATGTCAGTGGGTGCCATTTTTTAAACAGGAATTCATTTCCACTCCTATGGTTTATCTTCTCTTCCATGTCAGGTATCATTCTGTCAGACTGCCCTCTGCTGCCATCTGTCCCATGGCAGCAGAATGTAGCAGAATATTGGTAGCTGCCACACCAGCAATATTCATCTCTGACATCATGGGCCAATGTAATGGAAAAGAGGTGTTATTTTCAGTGGGTGTAGTATGGAAGAGTGTGTTGGATCTGCTCTAGGTGCATGTGGTACGTATGAGGGTAGGTTATGTTAATGCCAGGTGCCAGAAGTGGAGGTGATGGTGGTGATCTTAATGTGAGGAGAGCTTGCATTCTTCTGGTGAGAACAGTGAGTCTGGTAGCCAGCCGGGTTCTGAGCTCCCTGTTTGTAGTGAATTACTGACTGCCTTCTTCCTTACAATTTATCTTCTTTTCTTCCTTTGCAATCTTTTCCCAAGTCCATCTGGATATGTTTTTACAGCTAATTGCAGTTTTCTGGCAAAGAGTATAATTTTCTACAGGCTATTTCGTGGGGTTTTTCTTTGTTATTGCTTTTTTCTTGATACCTCTCTAAATCTGAGAGAGGTAAGAATACAGTTCTTTCTGAGGTTAAAAAAAGAAAAGAAAAAAGAACCAATAAACCCCCATCTGGGCTAGTTCAAAATTATTAAGGGAGGATCTTTGTTTTCAGAGTGTAGAGCATGCATTGTTCGGACTTTTGTACAGGCTTTTATTCGCATGGAGTGGTGGTAGAAGGAATAGCTAGACCACCTGCCATCTGTGATAATTATGACTAGAAATAGTCTGCTGAATGAAATAAAAAAGTGAAATAGTTTATACAGTTAGTTCTGACAACAAAATAGTGCTGTAATAAGAGACCTAGTAATTTGCCTTTAGAGACTTTTTTCAGTAGAACTGTTAATTTTTATGAGCTTAGTAGTACCACCTCCAGTTTGTAAAACGTCAGAGACTTTGTGAGGCTTGGCCAGTGTGTGAGAAAAGAGTTTCTGCAGCAGGCCATTACTCAGGTGCTTGCACAGCAGGGGTTTTAGTTGTCTCTTACAGCTTTGGATGTGCTTAATTCGGAATTTTCCAGGAAACTGAGCAGGAGTCCAGCTCCAGTCAGTGCATCTCTGCATGTCTGATTTCATCTTTAAGTAGTCCATAATAATGAAGCAGTGGTTACTTCAAGTAATCAGTGGTTTGTTCTCAGTTGCCTTTCAATTTTAATGTTCATGAACATGTGGCTGTGTGAACCCTTCCATTTTTTAGGCAATTTCTGAATAAACACCACTAATTCAGGCTGTTTTGTAAATTCAGGTCTGTTGAGTACTAGGAAAACCTAAATAGCATAGATGCTTTTGTGCAGGTGTTCTAAGCACTTCTGTAGGACTTGGATCCTAGAGACATGTATAGCATAGTACACAAGCATGTAAGATGCATTCAACTAGAGCATTCCTCATGCTGTCCTGGATTTGAGAGATCTGGTTTGATGCTGTCTTAGCAATCAGCGTAGGTCATTTGTTTTTTAGCTGTGAAGCTACTGTTGTTTTATAACAGAATCTGGATACTATTTCAGTTTATATTGTTGTTTCTCAGGAAAGCAACAAGTGCCATCTCTGGCTTTTACATGTTTTCATCAGCTGTCGGTATGCAGGGATAACCAGTTTTCTACGTGTAGCCAGGGAGCCAGAAACAACTTAGTTTATAGAAAAGATCTTCATTACTTAACCTTTGCTGGAATGGATTAAAAATAACATGCTTCTGCTGGTGTGGTTACTGAGTGGGTTCCGATGGTCATGTAATCATAAGGCAATTCTGGGGTGTTTGCTGATGTCATAAATGCAGAGATCAGTCCTGTCTTCAGATGTTAAAAGGATCTGTTCAATACCAAAGTGAAAAATACTGAAATAATGCTGATAATGAGAGAACTCATGAACTGACTTCTTCAGACTGATAGGCACTCAAGTTTTCAAAATCTTCGAGCAGTCTAGCACACAGACATAATGACTGCACTTGATTGCCCAGCTGGTGCATTTTAAATGCCTAGTGATAGACTCAATACTACTGAGTCACTGAGTATTAGAATCTGAAATTTGCTAATGTTTTGTATCATTCACCAGCAGCAAGTTCTCCTAGCTGGATCCATATGTTTCCTTCCTGCCGGTTAAGATTCGTCTCATACTCCTAGTCACTGAAGAAATCTCTTGGACCTGGTTTCTTATGGTCTTTATATGGATGTTAGGTTCTGTTTAATAGAGCGGATCTGTGTATGAGAATGTATCAAACAATAGCAGCATTATCATCCTGCATTTTTATTTAAACAGAGAAAAAGGCTTCAGTTGCTGCAGAGCTTACATTTTGACTTTGGCCATGATTGACTAAGGTAGTACTCTTTTCTAAAGTGCTATCGTTCCTTTTTAAGTAGCCATTTCAATATTTCCAGGTTTCCTTTTTTTTTTTACCCCACCTCTTCTTATTGTTAACTATTAGAAATGTTTCCTGTCCCATGGTGATCCTTAGGAAAGGACCTTAGGTCCTTTAGGTAACAGGGAAATCAACTGCTTCCTTTTTTATTATTATTTTATTTATTCATTTATTATTCTCCAGTTTTATTCCTCTGTAGCTGTGGTACAAACAAGAGTCAGCCCATATCATCTGTTCCCAGTAGGGAATGTTGGTGTTCATCATTATGCTTGGCAAAGTTGCATCTGAGCTGTGAGGAGTTAACAGGAATGATTTAATTCATATTTAAAGGTAGATGTTGACCAATGACAAATAGAATGGGAGTAAGATCCACACTTGTGCTTAAGTTGTGTGTTAAACTTGATCCAGTTGTCTTTGCTTTGCACTGTTTCTACAACAGTGTAGGCAGGCTAGAATAAGGAGATCATAGAATTGTGGGATTATTTGAGTTGGAAGGGACCTTTAAGGGTTGTCTAGTCCAACTCCCCTGCAATGAGCAGGGGAATACCTTTAGCATAACTGTTTTGGATGCCAGCATCTTACCAGCTACTCTCAAGGTGCCAGCATAAATTTCTATTTCCTTATTTTATAAACGTTATTTTATAAACTTTGGAGGCTGGGTTTGACTTCTCTAGGAAAATAAGAAAAGTAGATACAAAACACACTAACATCAGCTTGTTCTCTCACCCTATCAAAGCCAACCTTCTAAGTCAATATTAAGCAAGACTGCTTGCAGAGAGGCACCATGTCCTGCACTGTCATGGCACAGCTGGCTGGAATCAGCCCCACAGGCTGTGTCTGCAACTCCATTCCTTATGGAGTTCTGCTGCTGGCACCTGGGCATGGCCCTGTGCAGGGCTGCCTCAGTGCCATGCTGGTGTTCACAGCTGGCAGCAGGCTGCTAGAACTGAGTCACTTGGCCCTAGGATGGGAAATCCTGCTGTGAAGTAGAAAATAGTGTGTGATAATGATTAAGCTGGTACTGCATGATGACAGCTTTAGAAAGCCATGGATAGATGGGCAAGTCAGGGCAGGAGTTAGGTATAACTACTTACTAAAAGGAGTGAAGACCTATCTGTACCTAGCTGCATTAACTAATGCTCTAATTGCTTTATTCACAAAAAAAAAGGAAGAGGAGTGAGCTTCAGCTAGGATCTTCCTTTCCTACTCCTTCCAGCTGGGCCTCAGTCGGATCAAGTTTTTAGTGCTTTCTTGTTGCAGGCATTGTTTTGTTTTGTTTTTGTTTTTTTTCATTTGCTTTGTGGAGAGGGTTTTTCCACCAGAAAGTCAGCTACAGAAATGCTGGAGGCTGGAAAGGTACTCTGTGTTCAGCTGCAGTGTGCTTTGTGCTCTATTGAATTGCTTGCCTGGAGGTCACCTCGCTGAGGTTTTTTAATTGGGACTTCAGTTATCTGTGACTGTACTGATATATGACAATGATATAGTTTATACTGGGCACCTTTATACTATGCTTTCCACTTATGCAGCACATTCCTTTTTAAAAAGAAAAGCTTATTCTGAGACCAGCAGGCTCGTCTGTCCTCAGCTGGTACCTTGGTGGCTGTCCAGTCCATTGTTGCTGAGGTGCTGATATATGGCCTTGGTGTGTTCCATACAAACTTCTGTGACATGGACTGCACATGCTGAACTTTATGTAGATCTTTGAAGGACTGGTTGCTCTCCAGGTTCCTGTAAAGCACCTCCACCACTGCTAATTGCCTCAGATACTGGATACCATTCTTAACTCTGGTCCATTTGCCTTGGTAGTTTGCAAGGTCTTCTTTCAGAGGATGCTTTGCCTTTGTACTCAACAGAAGCTGTATACAGAATATGTGCTTTGTTGCCCTTTTCTAGCCCTTTTGTTGACTGTTTAGCCTGTAGGGATGGATCTGAGCTGCTAATGATCTGTCTTTCCTGATTAGACGTCAGTACCCCAGTGTCAGAGAAGACAGGTAGTAATTCCCTCTACCTGGATGGCACCTGCAATCTTTCTGCATCATATGAGCATTCTGGTTACACATCTGTATCTGAGACACTGAAGGGCTGTTTCAGCAAGGCAGGAGGCATCTATCCTGGAGGAGAGGAGGGATTTGCCATTCTTCGTTTCCTCACAAAGTAAGGGAAAGGAGAGGAGGAGGAGGAGGAGGGGAAAGATAAAATTATTAATTGTCTTAACGAGATCATTTCTGGAGAACTGGGAGATGGCAGCAATACAAGGGTCAAATACCAAATCAGACTTTAGGCCAATTTTGCTTGATTATTCTCCCATGCAAAGAAAACAATGTTGCTTTCTGCTGTTGTGCTGTCCTTAACAAGCCCTGAGTTTGCTAATCCTGTCCAGCAGCTAAGCACCCACCAGCTGCTCAGTCACTGTCCCCCTAGCTCTACAGAGAGAGATGGGAGAAAACTGGAAGAGCGAAAAGGAGGAAAAAGTCATGGATCAAGATAGCGGCAGTTTAATTAAAATGAAGGATGGAGGAGGAGGGGGGAAAGCAAGTGACGCAAAGACAATCACTCACCACCTCCCACAAGCAGACTGATGCCTAACCAGTCTCCAAGCAACAGCTACTTTAGATTCTCTTCCAGTTTTATTAGTGTGCATGACATTTACATGGTATGGAACGCCCCTTTGGTGTGCTGGGGTCAGCTGTCATACTTCTGTTCCCTCCCAGCCTCTGGATGGGCAAGGTGGGAAACAGGATGGCCTCGATGCTGTGTAAGCACTTCTTAGCAATGGCTAGAACATAGATGAGTTATAGACATTGTGTTAGTCACAAGTCTAGGAAGTTAGTTAGTAAAGTCCATCTAAGCCTGACAGTGTAATGGATGTGTAAATCCACTGTGTAATGTAAAGGGGGAAACAATAAGTTACGGAAGTGGTAGAGAGAAAGTAAATAAAAGAACAAATCCTGAACTCTGTCCTGCGTGTGTTAGCGTTAGTAAAGCAAAAGAGCTGGAGGCTAGTCAAACATTTAAATATTTGCTAAACTTCAGTCTATGAGCATTCCTATCCATACAATGATATGGTCGTTGTGTTTTGAATGAACAGTGCATACATCTAGTTTGATTCTTCAAGCGGTGGAATTATCAAGAAGCTGCAAATAAGAAAAATCAATAAAAAATATGAAATGTTAAAAAATAATAATAATAAAAAAAAAGAGAACTAGGAAGAAAGCGTGAGTGACCAAAAGCTTCTAGGCTAAGGCAGAGATGAATGATAAATACTGTTAAATATCATAACTTGTATGTTCTAGCATTTCTATTAGCATTGTTTGATGAAGAAAGGAAAAATAACATTTCCATCAATTTGGAGTATGTTCCATAACTTTGTTTCTTTTTCTCCTTGGTAGATGGATGCCTTCTAGCCGATCGGCGAGTCCTGCTGCTGCCTCATGTCCGGCAGCATCTCTGAATGATCACATGACTCTTGATATGGATGCAGTCCTGTCAGACTTTGTTCGGTCCACAGGGGCAGAACCAGGTCTGGCCAGAGACTTACTAGAAGGTAAGCTTTCAGGACACAACTATTTCCTATGCCTGCCATTTTCTTAAAGCAAGAGCCAGTAATAAAAAGAAACATCTAGCCTCTGTTGACAGACATTTCTTAGTATTTTGGTTAGTAAGCCAACTCTTAGTAGTCAGTTGACCATAGACTTCATCAAAGTAGATGTTTTTGGCAAAAGCCTTTAAAAGTTCTTAGTATGTTAAATTGCTTGTTTTAACTTACTGATAATCATGTTAAGTGTATATGTTGACACCCAGGGAATGGGGTAATAGCGCTTCATCTTAATTTTGTCATTTTTAGCTGTCTGAAAGCAGTTTTTAATGTTTTGACTGACTGGCCAAAGCAGTTAAGTCTGAAATGGTTGTACTGTAGACAAAGAAACCAGAGATGTTTTGGGGTCCAATATACATGCCTAATTCCAGTTTGATGGAATGGGAGTCAAATGGCTGCTATATTTAAAACATCTAAGAGGCTGTATCAGAAAAATAGCTGTGTCTTTTTAGTTCTTTTATTGTAGCCTTAAGCTTAGAAGCTTAAAAGTGGAAAAATATCTTTGATTTTGAAAGCATCTCCTTTCTTTGACTTTTGGTGAAAGTCACTTGAATCCTTCAATCTGGTAGACAATCAGTAAAATCCCTGCAGTTTGTTTTTTTTTTTTCTTTTGAGCTTTGTATTGATTACAGTTACTTCTCTGACCAAAACGTGCTGCTTATTGTGTGCGACACAAATTCCAGGAAGTGTCCATTCTTGATTTGGAATGAAGATAGAGATGAAAAAGGTGTTTTCATTCAGTGGTTCCACACAGAATCACAAAATTGCAGGGGTTGAAAAGTACTGTCTTCAGTAGGTTGAGTCCAACCTCCCTATCAAAGTAGGTTCTCCACAATAGGTTGCACAGGTAGGCATCCAAATGAGTCTTGAATATCTCCATAGGAGAAGACTCTATAACCTCTCTGGACAACCTGTTCCAGTGCTCCATCACACTGTAAAGATTCTTCTGCATGTCTGTATGGAACTTCCTACCTTCTAGTTTAGGCCATTACTCCTTGTCCTATGCTGTGCACCACTGAGAAGAACCTGGCCTTTCCATTTGCCTTCCATCTCTCTTCAGACATTTACAAACATTAATCAGATCGCCCTCCCTCAGCCTTCTTTTTTTCTGGCTGAACAGATCCAGGTTATTCAGCTTTTCCTCATATGGGAGATGATAAAGGGCCCTCTGCTGGACTCCTAGGAGATCCTTGTCTTTTTGGAACTGGAGAGCCCAGAACTGAACACAGCATTCTAAACATGGCCTCATCAGGGCAGAGCAGAGGGGGAGGATCACCTCCCTTGACCTGCTGGCCATGCTCTTTTTAAAGCACCCCAGAATCCCATTGGCCTTCTTGGCCACCAGGGCACACTGCTGGCTACAGCCAACCTATTGTCCACCAGAACACCCAGGTCCTTTTCCACAGAGCTCCTCTTCAGCAGGTCATTCCCTAACCTGTACTGACTGATGCATGCACCCCCAGGTGCAAGACTCTACACTTGGTCTTCTTAAACCTCATCCGGTTCCTCCCTGCCCAGCTCTCCAGTCTGTCCCAGGTCTTATTAAATGGTAGCACAACCTTTTAGTGTGTCAACCACTCCTCTCAGCTTTGTATCATCAGCAAACTTGCTGAGGGTGGACTCTATCCCTGCATCCAGGTCACTGAAGTTGAGCAAGATTGGATGCACTGCTGGTGACATTGCTAGTTCCTTCTGTTTGTTTGTTTTTTAAACGTAAAAATAAAAAATTCTGAATTGGTTCTAGCTTGTATATGTTTGGCTCTTCTTGACAGCTATTAGTATCATGGAATAAAAAGTAGTATAATTCAGTTTCTGATAAGTTTTTGATGAGTGAAACATGCAGAGCTCCAAGCCTCACTTTTTGTATTTTCTCTATCATTCAAAAGAATGTATAAAGAATTCCTTTGGTTATGTGAGTATATACTTTTCTAGTGTTACATGCAGAACAAAGTTTGCCTTTTTGGCAGTCACATTATTTATACTGTTGTTTGTATCTTTGGCGATGCTTTAGTACAGAACAAGGAGCTTGTGGTCAATACATGCTTGCTCTGACATTTCAAAATAACCAATTCTAATATTCTGTGTAGTTGCTTAACTGATAAGGAGCTCACATTTCACAGACTCAAAAGCATTAGTTCAATTGTTTGAGAATTTTGCTGTGCACACCTGAAAATAGATGTAAATGCAGACTTTAATAGCTGCATCAAAGTAAAAAATTGGCTTTGGTTTTCTTAGTTCTACATAAGAAATTAAAATCAATTTCATGGTATTAAAGTGTCTTTTAAGTACATTTGTAAAAGTCCCACAGCTGTCTAATCAGCCATTCATTGGTGGTTAAAATTGCAATAATAATTGCTTAGTTGATATTTTTCCAATGAATAATGTTTCATTTCTATTTACTTAGTCTGAACGGCCAGTTCTAGGCTGCTTGCTGTTTTGTATTCACATGGTAAAGCTGTGGGAACTTAAAAATGTACAGCCTTGAACAATAGTTAAGGAAAGATGTGGAGGCGGAAGGGGCTTAACACTTAACAACACATGCAGGTACACTTTAATATGTCATCTGTCTTGCTTTTTAGGGTTTCTTGAGCTTCTTGAACGTTTTAAAGATCCTTTGTTCCATTACAGTTTATTCTCATACATTGGTAGATTTATAAGCAGCATAGCTTTCCTTATGAAGAAAGCTTTTAAAACTTGAGGTTACAGTCTGATAGGTCATAGAGCCATGTGTCATGAGTAATTCACTGATTTTTTTGTTTTTCATTTGACTGTATATTGGAATTGAAAAAAATAAGATTATTTTCCAGCATGGCATTGGGAAAATGTCCGTTTTCAGTGCATGGGTACTTTGTCATTGACCCACAGAATTTTGATTAGTCCTGTTTTGTCTTCGGAGACGAGGGTTGGTGAGGGACTTCTTAATTCCCAAGGGCAGTCTAAGAAAATCCAGTTTTGGTGACAGTATGCTAAGCCAGCTTCTTCCATTCTTGACATCTGTGCAGTACCTGAGAGAACTCAAGCATTATCAAGAATTGTTAATTAATAATTAGTTCTGCAGTGTTTTCAAACAGATTTTGGTAGCACAAAACAATTCAGTTTTATCACAACTGAGAATAAATTTGTGGCTAGGAAGTCTGAATAACCTCCTCCCCCAGCTTCTTCTTTTTCCTCTTGCCTTTAAATATCCTAATAACCTCATGCCCATTCCTAGGGTGAGGATCTAAGGTAGCTGAGATCATGAGAAAAAAGCCTGTCGTGGTACATCTATGCTGCTAAGGAAAACCTTCTTTCTCTCTGCTCAGGAGGCTTTCATCTCCCCTTCTCTGTAGCAGTATCTTTTTTTTTTTTCTGCTTACAGTGTGCCATTATGCCTGAGCAGTAGCTGAGTGAGCTATTTCTGGGCTGAATTCTGCAGATGATCCATCTCCACATCAGAATCTGTATTCCATCAGGAACTGCAGTACTCCTTGTCGAATCTAATAGTTGCTGGCAGTGTCTAGTGCATAGAACAATTCATGCTTGTTTTTGATTGCTTTGTTTCTCTTGGTACCTTCCTATATGATTTTTGTTGAAGGGCTTTTTCTTCTTCAGCACTTCTTGCATTCATTGCCTGAATGCTGCTGTGGACCACCTAAGCTATTTTTATCGTTCTTTTTAATTAAGAGAACAGCTTTTTACTTACAGTACTAAAATTCATAGTTGCTATTATGGGTGAATTATTAAAACGGGAAGCACATTTCTGTCAGCGTGGTCCTGACTACAAGACTTTGCAATGCTCCTCCTTGTTGGTCAAGCCTCCAGGGAGGCTTCTTGGTTGACAGCACTTTACACCTTCTCTAGTCTTGCAGAGACTTTGAAGTAAACACCCCATGGGAATTAACTTCCGAGAGCCTGAACATCAAATAGGTGTCTTCGGAATCGTGGCGTCTCCAAGACATCATAAATCCTGATGCTTAATAATTAAGAGGCAAGCAAAGAGTAAGGAATATGTCCCCGCAAAAGTAAGGGACACCAAAAACTATTTACTGTCTGTACCAGATAGTAAAAATACAAACAAAAAACCCCAAACAAACGCAGGTTGAGGAGAGTATGAGCACAACATCTGTCAGCAAGTTAGAGTAGGAAGAATGACTGTGACAGTTGCTTGGCTTTCTGAGCAGCATTTGATTCTGGAGACATGGAAACTGGATCTGATGCTACACATTGTGATGGTTTAGAAATCGGTTGTGCTTGAAGCAGATAATTTCATATCAAAAATATCTCATACGGACCTCAGTTCTTTGCTCTTGTGTGATTATGAAGACCTTGAGCATGTGTGTGTATGTAGAATGCAAACAAACAAAAGTTTATACAGTGAATTTATCTGAAAGCAATAGCTTTTCCAGTACTGTAAATTTCATGCAAACAGCCTTTCACACAATTCCTTGAGACAAAAGCTTTCTTTTGGACTGACTGTATACTAAAGCACGGAATGAACATCTACATCTTTTTTAGATTTAAAAGCACTTCATAAAATAGCATTCAAATCTCTCAATACGGACTTGGTGCCCGAGATGCATTGCCAGTTCTTTTCCATTGTGTATTCTTCCAAAATATATTTTTTCTAATTTTAAATTTATGCTTGCTGGTATTACTATCCTGTCTTTCATGAGGATATTACTAATTACAAAAATTGGATTGCTGAAGGACAAGCGAATACTTTTTAAATTTGACCCAGTTTGGAATAGAGAAGGACAGTTTGTTCTATATTACTATAAAAGAGTTTTTTCATTAAATTGAAACATAAAACCAATTGTATTTTCATTATATTAGCCTTATTTTTGAAAATTAGAAAACCAGAGAAGCATGGTATTCTATTGAATCCACTTATGTGTCATGTTGTAGCATCTGTGAGTTACATGTTTCCACTCAGTCTTCCTTACTTGGAAGATCTGTTGCTGCTTCCTACAGGTCAGTATCACGGTTTCAGGTGCCTGGTTTTGGTACAAACTTTCTTTTCCTCCATTGTATTTTTCAGTGGTTAGTGCTTAATTGCTAAAAATATATCCTGAGATTTAGATCTCATTCAAAATATGCTCTTCATACACTTTTACAGCAATAAAATTGATTCTACTTAAACAGTAGCAGTAGCTTTGTTTTGAGAATAATTGTGTTCAATATTGAGTTTAATAGCTAACCAGGAGCACGCACTTGCCTTTATGAAAGCAAGAGTAACTTAAAACATTGGTATGGCTATCTGGTCTAGAACTCTAATGATGTCCTTCTGTAGCCACGGACTTTCTGTATAGGCATGGGTAAGCATAGAGGTTGCTGAGAGATCAGGTAACATATAGGGTAGTTTTCAGACAGCAGGAGGTATGCAGGCAGTGGTCACTTGATTAGTACGGAGGATAAGGGATTAGACGTGGCATTTCAATATATCTCATCCTTATACTATGGACAAGCACCAGGTGAAGGAGATTTGTGGAATTCAGTGTCTGTAATAAAAAATGGAAATAAGAAATTAACCTGCAGCAATAATATATATTTAAGTGAGAAGCTGTATGCACTTACATAAGTGGTTTCATTCGTTTATATGACTTGTTCAGCATTTATTTGTATAAACAGCAGAATCTTTGTTTTTTTCTGCTAGACTGTTTATTTGTGTCATATTTAACCATTGCATAGAAGTAATTGATATCTATTTCCAGCTGGAAACTTAATTGAGGTGTGTGTAGTTCAGCATTAATACGAGTCAGGAGATTGGCTGAGTCATGGAATGTGTGTTCAAGGAGACTGACCCATGGAAGTTAAGAGATGCAGTAGAAAGATGTTTCCTTCTGAGAACAGTGTACATCAGCAGAATTAAGAGAAAAAATAACAATAACAACAACAAAAAAAAACCCAAACCAAAACCAACACCACATAATTGGTGGAGAAATTTACAGTGTTGTCATATGATTGTACAAAATCATCTCTCCCAAAATAGCTTCTTATTCTTTCCCCCAGACAGTTCCTTTTATAGTTCTCTTGTGGAAGACTTGGCAAAGGGAAGAAGAAACTGAGCAGCTATCAATGTCTTGTTCCACAGAGATCAAAATTGTCATTTCCAGCTGTCTGTTCATCTTGAGTGACTTTGCAATCAAGCAGGAAATGGGAAAACATTAACTAAGTGTCCTTGCTATGTTATTATTTGAGAGTTTGAGCAAAAATTACTTATTTTAAAACATCTGGTGTAATATTAGCCTGGTTTTACATCCAAGTTTTTCAGAAAGAGTGAATCTGATCTAGAATTCCTCACCTTTGCCTGTCATTATCTGTGTTAATCAGCATAGTGCCAAATAGGAAGAGTTGATTTCATTTAAAGTGAACTTGTGCATTGCTTTATTAGCAGAATGGACTTCCTCGGCTGGCAAAGAAGATAATGCTAAACTTTCTATCTTAAATGATTATCCAGTTGATGGAAGATCTTTTTTTAATTAATCTGTTCTGTTAATTAATTGTTCACTGGTATAGTTGCAGGAAATGAGGGTCATTCTGTGTTCATAAGAACTAAGAATCTGTTAATTGTCTGGAAAGTCAGAGGCTGTTTTCTATTTCTCCAGATGCCTTTCTGTATTAGTCATCTTTTATCTCTTAGTTTTAATAAATAGAGGAGATGGTATCCAGTGAACGAGAAGAAACTGAAGAGGTAAGAGAGTTTTTGCAGTTGGAAGGGGTGTTCCTTAGTTTTTTCTCATCTTATTTGTTTTTACATAGCTTATAACTCTGCATTGTACCTGCAGTCCAAATTCTAAACATTTGGAGAGAGTCCTATGAAAAAAAGTTCTATGAAATAGTGAGGGTAAAAGGCCAGAACTTGCTGAGTTCAGAATAGTTCTTATAACTTCACCAGCACACACAGCTAGACACACACGTTCCATTAAAAAGTTGAGGTTAGTCATGGTTCAGCTGAAACAGGTACGTAAGGGCTCCTGAGTAGATCTCAGCAAGATACTGGAACGACTGAACAGTGTTGTTTGTTAATAATCTTCACTTCTGGTCCTAAATCTCTAAATGAGATTGATGGATGTTCTCATATCATTATTGGCAATTATGAGCTTGTCAGCCAGCAGCATCACACAAAACACCGAGGCCTACATGTGTTCCAGGAGGAGTCAGGTCTGTCACAAAATGCACCAGCCACATTCAGCTTTTAATTTCCAATGTGTCCAAGGTGAACATTTCCCACTTCCCTTATGTGTTAGGAACACATAAATTAACATCAGATCTGGACAGGACTAATTGAGGCTGATAGGAAAAAGAAGAATTTTAAAGGGTTTCTTCTGTTTTAGAGAGCTAAGCCAGTTCACAGCCTTCAGGCCTTATTGCATTCGCTTGTGAAATGGGGTATCTGTGTAACTCCAGGAACAGATATGATTCTCTTTCTATAGCTGGCTTTAAATTGATGGATCTTGGGCATGTCTTTGTTTATAAGGAGCACCTGATGGTAGGACTTCCTCATTTCTCCTCTCAGCCTTGCAGCCAACATTTTCAGCTAAGAACTCTTTTCTGCCTTCTTGGAAGGAAGACAGGAGCGTAGAGGTTGATGCTGTTTTACTTTCTGCCACGCATAACAGCTCAAAATCTAAGCTGAAAGATGGCACAGAGCATAGATGGAGCAAGAGTCCTGGACTTTGTTTTTAGAAATAAGTTATACACCCTGCCAAATACCAGATTTGTGACTGGTGCTTTGTAGATTTCTGCAGCTGTACGTCCTTTCAGGTAGATTTCATTCCCATAGGGAAAGGGCTGCCTGAACTGAGCATTCGTGCTGAAAGCTCTTTTGCTGTTTAACTGCTTTGTTACCGAGCCACTGTGCAGTCTTGTGTAAAAGGCAGGGTCAGTGTAATGGGCTAAATGAGGAGATGATGTTCCTTCCACCTAACAGCTGCTACTTCGTATCTGTGGCACAGCTGCTATTCTAAGAACACCTTTGTATACGACAGTATGGAATATTTGAGTCACAAGGTAGTGACTACACCAGTTTTTGAAGGAGTGAAAATGTAGGATTTGTTTGCCAGCAAGACTTCTGTCCTGCAGACAGGGAGACTTTGTTAATTTGGTTGGCTTTATAATTATTATAATTATTTTTCAGCTTTTTGAATTTTCGACATAGGTTTAGTTCTGCAGAAGCTTTGCATTATCTTTAGTAATGCTTGATTGTGATTTGTTTTCCATGACTTGTAAAATGTACATGCAGTGATAGTAAAATATGTAAGAAATGCTGGCAGAAGCATTCAGATTTGTATTGTTATACTGCTTCTTCAGTAGTCTTTGTTTTCAGAAAGGTATTGTATTTGCATGCTATTTTCATTAAGAACAAAAAGATGACTTTGAAAGTGAAGTAGTTAATAATAAAATATTGCCTTCTATTAGAATGGTTAAAAATTCTGAAAGGTCTGTTCATTTTAGTTATATTGTCATTTTGCCAAAATACTTATTTTCCTATTGTATTTGTCATTTTGAAGAATTATGCCCGCTCTTCCTCTTAGCTTAGCTTCCTGTTCAGCATCGCTGTCCTCTCTAACCTCTCCCTTCCCCTTTTGCAAGAAAACAAAAATCCTTTTTTTTCCCGCATGTTCAACTTCAACTGCATTTCCTGTCCTTAAAATATCTTTGTTGAAGTCCTGTATATGTGTATTGTTGCACACTGACCTTTGCTGTGGTCCTCACTGCTTAGAGCTCTCCTAGTTCTCTGTCTCAGGTTGCATCCTTTCTGGCATGTTGTTTATCACTAAATCAGGAATTGCTGGTGACCTTTCAAATGTTCTTTTTAACATATTGGAGTAGGTGGATATGTGAAGGTTGTGAGTGTGGCTTTGTAATTGCATGCTTGCTATTCCTGCTGATTAATGATGAATGTCCCCTAGTTGTATCATGTCTGTTGTTAAGAACTGAAAGAAAATGAATTTGTTAACTGTTGCAGTGCTGCTAATCTATGCTGTTTTAGCAAAAACAAAGACACAAAAAAAACCCACCAAAGCCTAAATAAACAGCGTGTAGCTCAGGTCTTGCTGCATGAGTGTTATCAGCCTGAAAAATATAGAATCTAGTAACAGCCAGTGTGGGCTGCCTAAGGTGTGCCTGAGTTTTGTTGTTAAGGAGTGTGAGATGTGATCTGACAGCACATGCTTATCTCTGAGCAAGCGAGGATTTGTCACATTGAGGTCTCTTCCACGAAGAGGTCTCTTCTCCTTTTGGCTAGAGAGGGACAAGGTGAGGTGGTGGAACCCAACTGAGGGACAGTGTGTCTTACTGTGGTTGGTGTACTGGAAAGCATCACGAGGACATTTCACCCCCTGAAAAGGGGAATGCTGAAGCATTGCAATAAACTCAAGCAAATGTGCAGCAGTGGATGGGTGCAGAAGGCCGTGTGTTCTACAGATACAAATAATAGAAAGCAAACCAAGAACGCACACAAGAGAGAAAAGGGTTGTATCCATGTCTGTTTGCTCTGCACTTTCAACGTGTTTATCAACTGTGCAATTTTGCTCAGGAAGGAGCAGTTGTAAATGTTTCATCCAAAAGCAGATGCTCTTAAGTGAGAATGATTTCTCTGTTTAGGTTTGTTCTAAAAGCACAGGGACGTGGTTTCCAGGTTCCCAGTCTGCTCTCAGACCGACCTGAGCAGATGTCCTTTTTTCTTCTTTGGCAGGCAAAAACTGGGACTTGACAGCAGCTTTAAGTGACTATGAGCAGCTCCGGCAGGTGCACACCGCCAACCTGCCACAGGTGTTCAACGAGGGCAAGTACTGCAAGCAGCCCGAGCCCGAGCAGCCTCCTCAGGTGACAAAGGCCGAGCGGCCCTGCCTGCAGCGGCAGGATGACATCGCTCAAGGTAAGAGCTCTCCTCTGGGGCTTCTGTGGAGCAGCTTTCTAACTGGTCTGCTTGTGAGTTTTGCGTGTCTGCGAGGAGGTTGAAGACGCTGGCCGCCAGCCTGTGATATCCACGTCACTGTGATAGGCTTTGCAGAGATGCTATGCATTGCATTTTTCAGCTGCCACGGGCTTTGCCTCAGCTCTACAAGTTGTTTTTTTTTTTTTTTTAATGAGCAATTCAAGTACAGAAATACACTGGCAGTCCTTCCAGAAATACTTCCCAGGCAGTCCTGTGGTACAGAAAAAGGGAATTAGGGGGTGTCAGAGACCACTACTGTATGTAGTGGTTCATGTAGTACTTTTATACTTCATGTAGTACTTTTATACTACATGAGACACAAAAAAGGCATTTTTTAATAAATAATCCATATTTCTGTCTTTGCATTCTTTTTCGTAGTATTTGATTAGGATGTATGAAATCTATGAATAAATTTCAGCTTTTAATTTTTGATCCCTTATGGCTCCCCTGAGGAAAGAACATCCCTTCTCAAGTCCCACAAAATAGAAATTGAAAGCTTCAGAACTAAAATGAGTCATCTACCTCAGGCAGCTGATTTCCAGTGCAGCATCATGAGCATGAGGATTTACTTTTTTTCGTATGCAATTCTGTTTCAAGTTTTCACTCTCTTGTTCGGATTGTTGGAATGCATTTCTTTTTCATATTAATTATCAAGGAACTGTAGTTAGCACTAAAGTTAATCTACAGCTCTGACAGCTTCTCAAGTAAGAAAGCAACAGCAGTAGCATGATGATTTCAGCAGGGCTTTCTATGCAGTCATTGGAATGGAAAGGCTTCCCTTTTCCTGCCAGCTCATCCCTTCTATCAGAGAGGAAACATTACCAGTGCTCGCAAGTATCAGTGAAGCTCTGTTTTAAATGGATAACTTCCACCAGTAGGGAAGGAACTGCATTGCTTCTTATGACTCCTGAGGGCATGAAATACAGATAAAGGGAGGAAGAGTAGCACACTGTAGTTGGTAAAACTGTTGCTTTCATCCTTATTGGGATCCAACTCACTGTAAAAATCCATATTACTGTACTACCAAGTTTACACTGAAATGTCCATCTGATGGTTTTATGTCTGTAGTACAAGTCTGGCTTTAAGTTATGCTCTGTGCGTAACTGAAATCCTTCCTGACCTGTTCATGATCAGAGAGCTATTGCTGATGTCAGACGAAAACAAGAGGAGTATTACAGTTGGTCATCGTTTAAAAAATGAAGCTGCTTTCGGAGATGTAATTATTTCAATTCCCTTTAAAATCGTTATCTGTAACATTTTATCAGCATTAACAGATCTAACACCTTTGGTATTACTGAAGTCCTGGTATGTACAGTTTTCTCAATTTTTGTAACTTTCCCATATTCTATGTTCAACAATATGTCAGTTTGAACTGAATGATTTATGGTTTTTAACACTTGCAGAGTATTAACGATGAATTTTTCTCTTACCTGTTTGCTGATAGCAGAACTGAGGACATGTACAGAAAAGTAAAACGATGTGCTAGTAATTTATTCTGTTCTTAAGATTCTACTGCTTATTTTGCTTTGTCAGTCCATTATTGACTGTTTCTTTTATGGCATTTGTCAGCAGAGAAGTGAAATCTATCATTCTAGTTAAAACAAAACATTCTTTTATACCAGACTTGCTAATGTTATTGCTTGTTTTGAACTGTGGATTGGTTCTTGGATCAGGAGTTTAAAAAACGCTCATGCCTAAAAACTGAGTTTGACTTCCATCACAGTGATGATAAAATTGTGTCCAGGTGGATTGCTCTGAAATTAAAACAGTATGGCATTCGATATAGAGTGATTGAAGAATAGTGTATCTTTTGATTCACAAGTCAACTTAAGAGTTCAAAGCAATAACTGATCATTATAAGTCCACCAGTAGTTGTTCCTTGTAGTGCATCTTTAGAAACATAAGAATAACTTTTGAACTTGTTGAAAATAAAATGCTTGTCTTTCATGCCATTTCTTTACTGTTAATCTGTTTTGAAAGGGGGAGAGTGCAGTTCATCTATAATTTGCCATAGGGAATCCGTAATGAGAACTAAGCAATCATTTAGTATAGAGAAATAAGCTCCAAAAAGTATTAAAGAAGCAGAATACATTCCAAAGTGAAAAGACATTCACCAGACATTCGATGTTGAATGCTTTTCAGTGTATTCTTACAGTCTATAATCTCTTTGGCTTCTCTACAGAAAAGCGGCTTTCCAGAGGCATTTCTCATGCCAGCTCAGCCATAGTCTCTCTTGCTCGATCACATGTAGCAAATGAATGCAGCAATGAACAATTTCCTTTGGAGATGCCCATCTACACATTCCAGCTACCAGACCTTAGTGTGTACAGCGAAGACTTCCGAAGCTTCATTGAACGTGACTTAATTGAGCAGGCAACTATGGTTGCTTTGGAGCAAGCAGGTGGGTATAGACTTCAGATGGCAGTGGTTGGGTTATCTGACATTTTGCTATTTTTAATGATGCTTCATTTTTGGAATTTGGGTGTCCTGCACAGGAAAAAAAAATGCTGGAGGAAATACTGTGCTTTGCAGAATGATGCATGCCCTCATCCTCTCTTAAAATTTTATTATACTGTCAAATTTGTTTAATAATTCAAAGATAATGCAGAAGGAAGGAATGGAAGACTGATGGAGGAGTCATGTTGGTGCTTCTAGTGCTTGTGAGGAAATGTCATTGCAGGTAACAATGGCAAACTAACAAAGGAAACCTCTTCAAGTTCTGTTCCGGCCTGAGAATATTTTTTAAACATGCAACTTGTATAATGATTATTGTTTTTGTAATAAGAAACTGAAGACTGTGAAAGCAATAGTTCATTACTAACATGAAAAAAAAGTTAATTTTGATATTAATTCATATTTATTAGTAGTTTAACATTTTAAGTTTTAATTTGGATAAATATGGAGAAACATATTTGAGATTATTATCTTTACCTGATGAAATATAAAGTTTATTAATGAACCATGAAATGAATACCCATCTGTATGGGCTCAGTGTACTGAGATACTGACTTATTTAGACACACAACCTTCAAAACTAAGCCTAAGCCTGGAAGAGTGAAACTTGCAGAGAGAACACAGATCAGAGAGTGGATGTGCATGGTGTACTTCAGAGAGTGGAGGATACAGGGACAGATGTATTGGACCAAAAAATAAATCTCTAATGGAAGGGTGTGGTAGGACTGAGGTACCAGCATATTTTGGGTGTAGCTGCATGCTAGGAAATGGAAGAATGGGCTTTACAAATACAGAACAAAAGGAGATAGAAAACTTAGGGTTAGGATGCTGGTCTGGAGCCAGCAGTCAGTGCTGGTTTGCCTCAAAACTCTAAAATGCAGCTGTCCAGGATTTGCTTCATAAGCAGCTCAGTTATTTAATGCAGAAAAGATGGGTAAGGAAGAAGAGAGCAGCAGTCCTATCTCTCATTCACGTGTCCAAAATCATTGCAAGTGGCAAAAAGCAGACACGCTTACAGGATTATACCATGGAAACCTGCTTAGAATTTCCTGCTTTTGAGTATCATGAAGAAATGAATAAATGATTAATTCTAATTGTCAGGTCTGACAATTACTTGAATCAGGGCAATACCTTGACTCACACTAGGAAAGCTGATTTTTTTTTTTAATAAAATATTATGGCAGTGGAAAGAACCAGTAACTGTTTTGTTCCTGGCACTTCTTTTAGTGAAGGCTGCTGGTTCCCCCCATTACTACTTGCTTTGTGAAGGTTACTTCTTGCCTGGAGTCCCTGGTATCTGAAGAGGAGGCTGTCATGACCCTAAAACTTTCTGGAGAAAGAATTCTTCAGTTGAAATGAGTTTAACAGATAAACAGTGAATACTTAATTTAAAAAACAAACAAAAAAAAAACTCAAAAAAAAACAAAGCACACCTATGTTTTCATATCAAGTGTTGTCTTATAAAGTGACCTGTTTTCTGTAAGACACACAAATGCTCAGTTTCCCTGTATTGCCTGCTATTGTACAAATGTTGTCTGAAATGAGAAGCATGAATTAATAGGTGTCACTTTGCATCACACGTTTTATTGTCTCTGACCAACAGAGGGCCCAGTTTGACTACACTTTGGTCAGTGACATCAAAACATTGGTGGATAAGATGCATGCCCTGCAAACGACTGGGATCTTATTTTAACAAGGAAGAGAAAAAGAAGAGGACTGTGTTTCAGTAGCTGAGATAGTGTTAAGGGAAGAGAGATGTGTGTGCTTGAGTTATGGTTTAAGGGCATGAATTTCAATAGGAGGAGGGGAAAAAAAAGAAAAGCTGATTAGGCAAAAGAAGGAGCAGCAGATTACTGCTCAAAAGAAAAAACCATAGATTGGGAGTGCAAAAATGCTAAAAACAGCCTGTAGCACATTTTGTTTGACATACCCAAATGAGATGGATGTCTTCAAAAGGTATTAAATTCTGTTTCTACATGCTTAAGCACTTGCTACCATTATATTTTTATGTGAAAGGATGTTCAGGTTGCTTCCTACCTGTAGAGAAACTCCTGTTTCACTCAAAAATGCTGTCAGATCATAAACAGCAGACCTGGATTAAGGCAGCGTTCCTTGCTCTCTCTGCTGCTGCAGCGTATCTGTTACTATTTGTGTGATTGCTGTCTGAATTTCTCTTAGACATTTAGAGCTCATCAATGTGTACAATTTATGTACTCATAAAAGCATTTGAGGCTTTTGTGCATCTTGTAACCCCATTTTGCCTGGAATGAGGTCAGTGTGCAGGGTATGTGCAGACTGAGTGCTCTTGCAGCAATCAGTGTAGTTCTGCAAGGGAGGATGGCTCAGGTTGTGATAATCTTAAATGAGATCTGGGTGAAAGGAATTACATAATTCTAAGCATTTTACTGCAGCAGGTTGATTTCTATTACCATACTTTTGCTGTGTGCAGTTAAGGTGTAGTCTGACAGAGAAGCTGCTTGGCTGCAGGGGTGGTACGGCAGCTCCCAAACTGCTGTGCTGATGGCTTCACAAATATGTCACGTGGGCAGCAGAACAGCTACAAAAAGTGCTCTACCACAGTGGGGTTTTTTACTGCTCTGCTTATACGTAACTCAGTATAACAATTAAACTGTATGAACCTGAAAACTTAATTTTTATGCAGCATATAATGCAGCTGCATATTTCGCCTGGGTTTCACACTCCCGAAAATAAATACCTAAAATTATGAAAATGTTTGATTTCAGACTGTTAAAAATTAAGCTTTGATTTAAAAGAAATATAAATAAATGCATTTTGAGACAATGGGAATGTTCTCCTAGCTAAGATTTTTTAACAGACTTTCAAATATATGTCAGGTGCTGCAGTCGCAACCATCATAATTACAAGAAAATGCTATTCATTTCCTCCTTTCTAAGCCTGGAAAACATGTCGTGTAATTCGGTTCTAGTATGAACAGCAAGTATTTTCTCACACTAAAATGAAATTCAGCAATGGCGTGGAAAAACGCATCTCTGATTATGAAATAAGCTGGTAAACTGAGCAGGAGCTCACTGCTGGGTAAGTGTAGCCAGTTACATGTAGCTGTATACTTCTGTGCCATCTTAGTTTATGACTTTGGATTTGCATTCTGGTTGGTAACCTCAGTAGTGCTGGTGCATCAGCCCCAAAAGAAGCATTTACTTGGTTGGTCAGTTTTACTTCTAGAGTTATTTCTACATGAGCTCAGTATTACATTTCGAGAACATCAGTGTATGTGAGTGGTTTTGTAGATGGGCAGTTTTCTGGAAGTACAATCTACTGGAGAAATAAAAGAAAGGCTCTTTTTAGCCTACTTTCCTTAAGGAAACTAAGCACATGTCAGCAAATTGCCTATTAAGGTATCATTGTAACATTGTTTTTTTTTTTTTCTAGTTTAAATCTGACAGTTTCAAATAGCCTTCAACATTACATTACTCACACTCCTTTAGTACCCACTATGTTATTTTAATAGATGCTTTCTTTTCAGGTCGTTTGAACTGGTGGTCCACTGTGTGTACGAGCTGCAAACGTCTTCTTCCCTTGGCCACAACAGGTGATGGAAACTGCCTCCTGCATGCTGCCTCTTTAGGTAAGGAAGAATGTGTGCATGGAGCCTTCTGCCAGAAATATTTACGAGTTTGCTCTATGCCCAGTGAAAGCTCAGAAACAAATGGAATGCAAAGAATTTCATTAAAAGTCTGGTTCTGGAGCAATACATTATTCAAACTTCACTTAAAGAATTGATTGTTGTAGGCATTCTTGAGGGCTGAAGGTGTAAATTTTGTGAGGTGATATCACAAGTATAATTGAAACAATATCAAAAAACCTTTACCATAAACAGCTGTGTGTGTTTTCTTTACATATGGAGGATTGTCCTCACTATGGGCAAGGAACTGTGTTCGTTGTCCTCTGGCTTTTGTTAAACAGTGCTTTTCATTCCTTCGAGATTTTAACTGTATGGGAAACAGACTTTGGAGTGAATTAAAAATTGGACAAATAGCATTGTGGCTATTCAGCTTAGGAAAGGGAAAGCTTCAGGAAGAGCTGAGAACAGCTTTTCAGTGCCTGAAGGGGGACTGTGAGAAGGAGAGGGAACAGACTCTTTAGTGGGGTCTGTTGTCACAGGACAAAGAGAAATGGTTTCAAACTGAAAGAGAGAAGATTCAGACTGGGCATGAGCAAGAAGTTTTTCACTGTATGGATCATAACATACTGGCACAGGTTGCCTGGAGAGGTGAGGAATGCCTCATCCCTGGTGACATTCAGGGTCAGGCTGCACGGGGCTCTGAGCACTTGGTCTAGCTGCAGATGTCACTGTTCACTGCAGAGATGTTTGACTAGGTGACCTTTAAAGGTCCCTTCCAATTCAAAGGATTCCATGATCCTATGAAAAATAGTTTCCAGTTGATTAATTAATCATTAATACAAGATCTTTGAAGCCTTTTTTCAAATTATATCAAATAAATAGAAACCTGTGAAGCCAAAAGTCTTTGATGTTTGCTCCATAACTATCACAAGGAAGCTTTTTTTGTTGTTCCCATTGCTAAAATCTTGTACCAGCAGACCTCCAAAAAGCAACTTTGTGAAAAACATTAGGATTTTTAATCATTTTGAAGGGACTGTTCTTTTTGGAAATAGTAGTAAAAAGATATATATGGCTTTTATTTTTTCCAAGGATCCTTTTATCTTTGCCTACTCTATTTTTTTGCTTAGAGGAATTGTATATTATTTACAAAAAATGCTGGGAGTATTTTGACTTGCAAGATTTGAAATACAGATATTTAATGCCAGCAGCTGATAATATAACTGAAACTTGGATGTCTGTGGGTATGTGTCTCAATGAGTGTTCTGTTCTTTTGTCATGGTTACTGCTCAACTTTGTGAAGATCTGTGAACTGTCTTAAAAGGAGCTTGAAAGCCTGTGGCTGGTGGTATTTTTAGACTTCCAATCATCTTGAATGCTTTTTATTTGGATGTTGAAGCCAGAAGAAATTTGCCATCGTGCTGTGTGAGAGTGGACGCCTGTGGGCGTCAGAATCATCATCTGTGATGCACAAAAGAGCCTGTGGTTGTCATTAGTATTCTTGTGTCTGCAGGCTCTGCTGGCAACTGGAACTAGCTAGCTAGAAGTAACCTGTGCGTTGAATATTCCACTGCTTGCAGCAAAGTTTGTTACATGCAAGCACATACTGAAACAGCTCACATCCTTGTCGTTCTTCCAGCCAAGTTTAAGCTTTGTTAGAATTCCCTTTTATTGTTCACTGCTTTATCTGGATATTGACCCTTTTGGGAGAAAACATTAGAAATAATGAGCAGATTACTTGCCAAGAAAAGTCTTAAACAATGTAAAAATAAAAGCTATGTTGCTTTTGCTTATAGGGCAGTATTAATTATATTAGTGCTTGTTATATCTGTTTTAATGTAGTTTCTTTAAAATTGAGTGCCTTCTTGTGATACTGTAGGCATGTGGGGATTTCATGACCGGGATCTTGTTTTACGGAAGGCGCTCTACACTATGATGAGAAGTGGAGCTGAAAGGGAAGCACTGAAAAGAAGGTGGAGATGGCAACAGACCCAGCAGAATAAGGAGGTCTGTATGGTCTAAAGGCAACCTTGTTAACATAATTTCAGCGTAAAAAAAAAATATTCTGAACTTTGTGGAATTTTCATTTGCTATCAAATTCCTTCTTTTTCCATTCTGCACTGGGAAGAGAGATTTGTATTTAGAATTTGAATATCAGAATGAAAACGTATTTGTAGCTTTGTGGGCATAACTATGCATGGTTAGTTCCCACAGTTAGTGTCTTACATCTTTCTAGTAAATTAACATTCTTTTCATCTGAATAAGAATATTGAACGATTAATGTATCACATAAGAAGCTCAGAGAAGTTAATTGCATATACTACTACAGAGCTCTGCTTAAATTTTTTTTTACCAACGTAACTACAAATGTATTTCATTCTCTCCTATAGTCAGGTTTAGTGTATACAGAAGAAGAATGGGAGCGGGAGTGGAATGAACTGCTCAAGCTGGCATCAAGTGAGCCTCGCACGCATTTCAGCAAAAATGGAGGCACTGGTGGTGGGTGAGTGCAGAGTATGCATATTTTGCAGTTCCAAAGTATAAGACTATCAACCAGCCTTAATGCAAGAGCTTTCATTTTCCTGTCTAGTTTTTGTAATGAAGAATATTTAGGTTTGTGTACTCAGTTTGTTTTTTCCTCTAGCAACTCACTCCCCCAAAGAAAACTGTATGTGAAAAGTAAGTTGGCCAAGCATAAAACATAATGAAGAAATAAAATGTTCAAAAAAAAAAAATTCTCCGGGCTTTGAAATTATATTGTATTTTCCTTTTAAATTTGTGATACCAGGGATAGGGGAATCTAATGATGGCCAAACTGTCAGCCATAATTGTTTTCATTTTCTTCTATTTTAATTTTTTTTTAATTGATTGGTTTTCATTTTACTCCTCAGTTTGTTTTCCGTGTTTGTAGATATTTTCCTGTTTATGTGCTTTAGTCTTCTAATGCAGTTTAATTCACATGTCTCTTAAATTTGGGCATTTACCACTAGTTTTCCCAGGCTGCATTCTGTCTTTAATTCTGCAAACTTCATGTAGTTTATAGTTTCACTATATTCCAATCAGAGATGTCATGAAATGTTGCATTTGGCAGACTTTACCTTTATTTCCCAGACAGTTCAAAAGGCAATACCACACACTGTTGTATAGAGAACAAATTTAAATTGTTTTTCCATGGTTTACGTTTCTCTTTTTCTAATTGGAAAGAAGTAAGGATAAATATGTAACAGTTCATTGTTCCTTTAAAAGAGTCACCTAATGCATCCAGTGTTCAAAATAACAGAGGCTCTGCAAAGAAAAAGGAACATCAAAACAGTATTTTTGAGATGGAGTTTATTACATTCTCTACTTTAGGTACTATATTAAGAGAGCTTGCAGATTAGTCTTTGAATTATAGATGAAGCATTCTCCTTTGGTGTCAGGATTAGCAAAAGCATCAGGAGTTGTATGTGCTTCAAAAGAATTCAGTGACAAGCTTAGGAATTATGCTGCCTCATTCATCTACAAATTTTAATAAATCTCTGAGGTTGAAGTACGTGTAAAGGTGACCAGCAACTGTCACTAAACTTTCACGGATTTCTTTTCTGAGAATATATTTTTTCTGAGGCTTGAATGTTGGAGAAATAGATGAAGAGAACACTGAAAAACCTTGCTCCTAGCTTTTTGTTCCCAATATGTAAAATCCTTCAAGCAAATCAACTACAAATCAACTATGAAGCAAAGTCTTATTTTGAAGTGGATTTGCACATCCATCTGTAAATGTTAAAAAGACAGATTATCATAATTGTTTCATTTATATGAAGCAGAATGTATTTTGAAACACTTATTTTGAAAGTGGATGATACTCATTTTTAGACATTCCTGTCAGCTTCTAGCTCGCTGTCTTACATGGTGTTAAAAAAGTCAGGTGATTTTAAATGGGTAAGAAGAGAGGAAAGGTTTCTGTAGTCCTTCCATGTGTCATTAGAGTTTTATTTAATGCAGCAACACCAGAACGTTAAAACAGGAAGTATCTCTCAGCTACATGTAATTTGGGTTTTCAGACATGGTTAGGTATTCAGACTAATTCAACCAAATATCCAAACTATTGCATCCATCAAAGACCCTTATCTTGCAGAGGATTTAGTTTAGATCATTTTTTAATAAAGGCAATGCCTAAAAACAGTTATTATTTTATGTGTTTGCCTGTTTCAGAAGTGCTGTTCCTTTCTCTCTATTTCAGTATATAGAACAATTACCAGATGCAAATAGAAAAATGTTCAGTACTGCAAATAGTGCATCTTTTATATTAGCTGATGTTTCTTACGACTAATGAATGTTTTATCAAGCTTGTTTTTCTGTGAGAAAAAAGTATTGAGATTTTCAAGAGTTAAGAAATAAAAAGTAGAACTTGAGACATAATTTTTAATCTCCTTTGGTTAATGCAGTATTGTGGGTCTGATCCAAAACATAATGATACGTATTGGAAAAAAATTCTTTTATTTGTGTTGCCTTTTTGGGAGAGCAAATTATCCTAATGCTTTTACCAATCAGAGACGTACCCAAGCAAGCAGTCACTAGCACATGCTCTTCTACATTGTTCCCTCTTGTTGCTGCCAAAAGTTTTGTAAGCTTTTCCATAAAAGAATGTTTAAAACAAACCTAGCAATTGCATTTAACTATATATGGAAGAAAAAGGCTTTTTGAAGTTCTCACAGATTGAGAAAATAAGACTATTCAGATGAATAAGATAACAAATAGCTTAAGGAATTTAAGGATTTTAGTTGATAAATTGTATTATAAGACTTGTGCCTCCCTGTATGTTGGAGTAAATTCAGTCTGAAACAAGTTTATTGCAGGCATTAAAACCTTGTGAGAGAAGCCTTCATCTCTTTCCCCTGCATAGCTGGCGGTAGAGAATTCTTCCTGTTAGATTCGGTATGAAGACAGTGATTGCTTTTCATATGTAGTGTGTTTCACTGTTTAGTAACTTGTCTTACTTGAGGGATGATGATCCTCAAATACACTGTCGTAGTTGGCCTCAGAAGATCTTGTGTTGGTGAGGTTAAGTGTGTAATTAAGTTTATCTCCTCACTGATGTAGATGTTTCTCCAACTTGGTTGTCTCTTCTTTTGTTTGGGTTTGGTGGCCAAGGGCATCCCATCCCAGTGGAAGAGCAGTCATGACTCAAGTGCCACATTGTGTAGATATGGCACTTTAGGACGTGTTTATTGGGCGTGGTGGTGATGGGTTGATGATTGGACTTGATGACTGAGGTCTTTTCCAGCCTTTATGGTTCTGTATACATGGTGGTTTAAATACAACTGCATGGTTGAATTTGTATTTCTGACTCGTGATACTGTTGAGAATAGATGTTTAGACTGTAGGTGAATTTCACAGGTACTGGTTTGCGTTGTAATTTCTGGTGAAAATATTACAAATCTTGCTGTATGTTCTGTACGTAGTAATTATGTCATTTCATATGAGTTTTGTCTGATATTCCTTTCACATCCAGGTATCTTCTCTAGTAGACAGCCTGTTATTCTCTTTCTTTTCTTTCATTGCTTGTGCCTTTCAAACATCAGATGATGACTAGAACAGAAACTGCCTCAAGCATCGTGGATAGGATTGGGATAGCTCAGTCTCTTTTTTTTTTAATTGCACCATACTGTGTGTACTTCTATTTGTCAAATTCTTTTAGAAGGTAATTATTCTTTTTGTCCACCTTTAAAATTTGGGACTATTTTGGATGCAAAACATTGTATTGTCAAACTGTGAAATGTTATCAGTCAGTTCCTTTATCTGGAAGAAATAGATGTTGGAAGGCATTTCCATGCTTCTGCTGTGTAAAGAAAATGAATTTAATATATTTTGTCCCATGATATCTGATAAACATAGTGGTATGAAAAATCTGAAAAGGAAAAAAAAAAAAAAAAAACAAAGGGAGAAAACTCTTCAAGTGCCCTAATTGGCTTCCAGTTACATTTTATGTCAGTTTTTAAAAATTCCTTCCAAGAACAGCACTTTTTTGTCCTCATTTTTAAAGTACTTGCTCACTGTGATGCTGATTGGGTGTTAATCCTACTTAGATCCATGGAATATTCCTCAGTAAACCATATATTTTAATCTGCAAATGAAATATGACCTGTCTGATCTACTTACTCCAGCTAGATTAAGGGAATGGTAGTTGGATCGATCCTGCTAAAAGGCCAACTTACAGAAAAACAAACTTCTCTGTCGTGCTGTTTTATTGTTTTACTATCACATTCAGTTGCCCCACCTTGTAGAATTCTTGTATAGATTTTTTTTAATGTGTTTTTTGAAACATGAAGCTCCACTGACAAAACTACTTCGCCATGTCTCACCTCAGTACACACTGATTTATATTCCTTCTGTATTCTCTAAAAAAGAAATGAAAATTTTCACCTCATCCTCAGGCAAATGCTTAAGTGGGAGGGATGATCTTACCTCCAGATGTGCTGATCTATTTAAATTATTTATAAGTATTCAAGATGAAATGCTTAGAATTCTGATTTCAGATGTCTAAAGGAAGGTGAAAATTATCTCACTGGGAAAACCGATAGCAAAATGAATCTCCGCTTATTTCAGCAGATACTCTTTTCCATCTTAAGAATGTTTTGGTAATGATCAGAGGAAAAAGCTTTGCTCAACTTTGCAAGTTAAATTCCACCTACTCAGGCTGACGTTTCTTATATTGCTAAGGTAACTTTCTGTGTTATGGTTAGAGGAACTAGAAAAGCATTTAGCTTTCCATTGCAGAATCTCCCTGCCCATGTTGTCATGTGAAATGACTGTTTTTATGATAGGAAGCAGTTGTCCATCAGGAGTTTGGCTGAGATTTACCTTTTCAGTTCTAGCTACACTACCAGACAATATCTCAGTAATGAATTTTGATGACTAATAAGCCCGTGGGGAGTCTGCAAATAAAAACATTCTTTGTAGCTATTACTTTATTCCCAAAAATATATTTTTCTTTCCAATTTCTCATGGTTTATTTCAATAACTGGAATGTGTGTTTCAGAAGAGTAGGAATATGAGTGACAAAGAAGAGAAAATAGCTGCCCCACTGGGTTGGTTTTCTAAAGTTTCGATGCTGTGTCTTCCAGGGTTGATAATTCAGAAGATCCGGTGTATGAGAGCCTAGAAGAGTTCCACGTTTTTGTCTTGGCCCACATTTTAAGACGACCTATTGTTGTAGTAGCAGACACAATGTTACGAGACTCTGGTGGAGAAGGTAAGACTTTTTCAATGGAAATCGATGCACCTATTTACCTAGGTCGCTCCAAAACTAATGCCTCCTATTTATTTTCATGGAAGCTGCAACAGCTACAAAGAGCATGATAAAGCTATTTGATTGAGTAAATTCTCAGCTACAAAACTCTGTTTTCCAACATAGTCATTACCATTAGCTATGCATTTTTTCCAGCAATGGACATGAGCTTGCATGCTACGCTCATAAATATCTGCACCAGTGGAGAAAACCCACTGATTCACAGCTCCTATTATGATGTCGTTACTTGTAAAATGTTCTCCATGCATCCATCTTTCATGAGCCTGAGCAGATGGAAGTCAGAAGGTGCCGAATCCAGACTGTATGATGGGTGTGGTAGGACAGTTCAGCCAAGACTGACAGTGTACGCTGAAGTCTTCAAACTGGGATGAGGTCTGGTGTTGTTGTGTTGCAAAAGAAAGGTTATCGTCTTCTCTGGCCTGACTGGAATTTAGTCACCATTGCAATGTAGTGGTCAGAGTTGGTTCTTTTTCCAGGAAGTGCAGAGGGATCACCCCTTTTCTATCCCGAAGGGAGTGCATATCACTTTACCCACTGAAGGGTGTTTTGAATTTTTCTTCAGTGAGAAATTCTTATGCCTGCGCTCTGTGGTCTGCAAGTTTTGACTCCAGCTCGCAGTGGTGACCCCGTGTCTCACTACCAGCAATGATGAGACTGAGGAAAATGTCACTTCCAGCCTAATACTGGTTTAACAAGCCCTGACAAACCTGCATGTGGTATTCATTCTGTTCCCAAGTGACAACTTATGGGACCCTCCTGACACAAATGTTGTGATATTCCAAAATTGCCACCATCGTTTCCAATATTAAAGCCAATATTAAGCTCCATACACAGTTCCCTGGTCATAATCCACTGATTGGCATTGATAGCTGATTGAGATGCTCTTCATTTCATGGTGTGACACCTGTGCATGGCCTTCCAGAACATGGCTTGTATTTCACATTGCTGTTATCATGGCTGAAATGTACCACCCACAGTCTCGCTGTGCTCACACCCACTGTCTGGGCTCCAGAAACATTCAGTAAGTGTCAATGAATTGTCAGTAGCTGCAATTTTTCCACATGGAGGAATTCAATTCTACACCTTTGCTTCATCTGCACTTCCATGTCAGATTCTGTTTTGTCAGACTGCCCCTCTGCTGCCATCCCACCAACAGACACCTCTGATGTTGTGGGCCAATATAATAAAAAAAAAAGAGGCAATACTTTTGGAGCTTTGTCCTTACAGATGTGTTAAACATGTAGCAGTCATCAAGATTTTGTTAAAATACTTTTATACCTTTACTAGTAAACAGACTAAGGAAAGTATATGTAAAGGTGGAATGTTTTCATTATTGCCCTTAGTGTATTTCCTGATATTTTTATAACAAAATTTTACCTGCTGTTATGACTGTTTCCCCTATTGATTGCTCCACTTCAGAGCTCTTCTCCTGGAGCTCTGAAAACAGCGTAGCACAACTGTTACATACAGTAAAAGCAACGTTAGTGTCTTTTTACATAGTTAAAAGAAAAAAAGTAATAATCTTATTTTTTTCATTGCAGCATTTGCGCCTATACCATTCGGAGGAATTTATTTGCCACTGGAAGTTTTACCTAACAGATGCCATTGCTCACCTCTGGTTCTAGCCTATGATCAGGCACATTTCTCTGCTCTTGTTTCCATGGAACAAAAAGATCAACAGAGAGAGCAAGGTATGCTATAAACACACAAACTCAGGAATATATTTTGAACACAGTGCACTAAGTACTTTCATAAACCTGTAAGTATAAGTGTCTATCAAAAAGGAAGCAATATCCACTAAATTTTATTTTTTACAGTCTAAATCTTAGTGTCTAATCACAAAACCGTGAGCCAAGAACTGTTCAGTTCTAATCTTTGCTTTGTCACAGCGTCTTTTTACATACATAAATAGCTATAATTGTAGTTATCTGCTGTGCTTCTGAGTTCTTGAAGGACTGTGTTAATTAGGGTTTGTAAAGCATTTGGAAAGCTATGTGTGAATCAGGTAAAGAAAGGCCTCTTCCAGCAAACTAAATGTACTTGTTTTTCCATTTTAAAACATCCAGTGAAAATGTTTTTATCTTTATACCTTATCTTCTGTTTAACTTTGCAATAGTGACAACAAAGTCTGAACAGATTTTTGTGTGTCAAGTTTGAGCTTCTCGGATACAGGATTAAAATTGACAAGAATGTCAGCAGTAGATTAATTCCTGCACAAGTAGCCCAGGAGGTAGCTGTAACTGCCCTTAACTTGAAGATCTCTTTGCCTAATAGAAATCTGTAAGAAGTAATACAGCGCATGGTCGTCCTCCCCTTCTCTTGCTTCCCAGCACCCAAATCCTGGGTAGATAACTAGCTACTTCTGGGTTTGATGTGCTGAGAATTTTCATATGCCAGACTGCTGTTTGGAACACCTTTTTTTCCGGGTGCTCTCCCTCATCAGAGTAGAAAGTCAGAATCTCATAGAGTATCCATCTCTCACTGTATCACAGAACATAGTAGAATAGTTCACCTGGAAGGGATCTTAGAGATCTCCTAACTTCCTGACCTTTTCAGGACTAACCAAAAGCTAAAGCAGATCATGGAGGGCCTTACCCAAATGCCTCTTGAATGCTGACAAGCATGGGGCATCAACCACCTTTCTGGTAACCCTGGACCAGTGTTTGACCACCTTATGGTAAAGAAGCCATTCCAGATGTCCAGCTTGAACTCCCCTTGCTTAGCTCTCTGTCATTCTCTTGCATTCTGTCATTGGTTACCTGGATATGTGTCTAACTATAAAAGTTAATATCTTCATACTGCAAGTCTGACTTTGCTGCTTGCAAAATAAGTGATAGAAATGCCAACAGTAAACCTTAAGTGATTTTGAGCATGTTAATATTTGATTCTTTCCCATCTACACTGAACCTCTATCCTGCATAGCTGGATTATTGCTAGTGCTGTAGTCTACAAGACTACAATAAAATTTTTGCTGTACTAGTTGCTTTCCTAGTCCCAGTGTTTGGTCACTGAGTATTGCTGCTTGGTGTTGACAGTGAAGAACTGATGTAAGAGCAGAGAAAAAAAAAAAAAGCAACAACAAAACTGATGAAAGAAAAAAAAACATTTCTACTTGTGTTTGTAGAGCAATGTGGTCATACAACAGTTATTTTGATTACTGTATATTTATGCTCTCAAGGATTGTTTGTGATCTAATCACTTTTTTTTTTTAATTAATTTTGGATCAAGTTAGGAATTGTCATACTGAAAGTTACCTTTGCTGGTAATTATTCAAATCAAGTAGCCATATGGAATCACACCCCTTGCCCTTCACTGAGGCTTGTTCCTGAGAAAGATGCATCCCTGTATACAGGGGATGTACACAGGTAAATATATATTCATATGCCATATATAGGTACACAAATATATATATATATCATACACATAAAATTGTCAAATTAGTAAAAGCTTCACTTTAAAAATTTAGACTTCAGTCAAGATGCTTCCAAAGTATTACAAATTAGACTCTTCACTTATCTTTGCTGCTTTGCTAGGAGTTGTCCTTTCTGAAATTTCTCTTGTATCTAATTTAGTCCTGCTGCATTAGTTTTATGCAGATCAGCTACTCAGTTTTTGCTAAATCTCAAAGGTGAACACTCCAGTAGTCAGCTCTACCTTGACAATTAGCATAATCGCCTCTGTGGAAGCTTCACTGGATATGTATTAGATTAAAGGGAGACATGGCCACCCAGTTGTTTCTTTTCCCTTTCTATTCTTCCCCAGGTATCTCATGCACATATGGAACAGTACCAAGCACTGAGAGTTTGGAAGTATTAACAGTTGATAAAACTAAAATAAAGAAGGGAAAAACACACCCTAAACCTAAAACAGAAGCAAAAACAGCCCCCAGCAGCATTAACACAGGCAATTTTAATAAAATCATGGGAAAAACCTAATAAATTCCAACTCAAAGGATATACTTATAACTTTTGTGAAATGGTAATTTAGTTGCTCCTAGATCTAATATTTATACAGTTGGCCATTTAGATTGCCGTGAGGTTTTGATGTTAGGACATTCTCCATATGAGTTATAACAGTTTACACTACTGGTATGTTGTGAAATGCTAAGGCAGTAGTTCTAGAGCTTGCATCTGGTTGGAAGCCAGCTAGATGGGTTTAAATACATGTTTGAAGGAACTCAGACTCCTAAGTAGGTAGACTGTAAGCAGTCAGGCTCCTGATTTCATTGCTACCACATTCTTCTGAGAACAAAGAGTGTAACCCTGAGTCACCATTTGGTGGTCTGTACAGAGGGATGGTGCTCTTTACTTCCGTGTCTTCTGTAGTGCTGGAGCATAATTAATGCAGTGAAAGTCTAAGGGACTTGAGCACTGTTTTGCCTTAAGAAGGTGTATGCTTCTATAAGCCATTTTGTTTTTCTGGTATTTCATATGAAAAATGGAATGTTTTGATGATAGATGTAAATATCTACTCATTATCGCCAAAGCTCCACGTTTTAACAAATCATTAAGCTACAAAACTCGTTTAAGTTTATATAAGTATGGGTATAAAATGAATTAATCCAGCTGTCATCTACTGCTGTGCTGACACCCAGCACAGAAAGAGGAGTACATGTGTGGCTTTCCAGGCACAAATCAAACTTCTAACTCCAGCCTGCTGTGAATAAATCCTGTCCACTTAAGCTTCCAGTTCCACTTTCATGAAATTCAAAGCTAGTAGTAAGCAGATCAAGGCAAGCAGAGCTCAGATGAGCTCATGTCTGTCTTCACTCTTTGGTGGCGAAGGGAAAAGTGTTTTTGCTAAAGATGTGATGTGGCTTTTGAAGAATCCAGTGAAGAGGAGCTTGGCATTAGCTGTGAGTCCTCCACGTTTTTTTGCTGGTGATTGCAGAGATGTTTTAAATCCCTAATGAATATAGGGATTCATAAATGTGGAACATGTGGTTTTTGAGATCTCCTGAGTGAATTTCATTTAGTCCTTCTTCCCAGAGAGTGGTTTAGAGGCAACTGAATATCTTGCATCCAGCTCCCTAACACTGCATGCATTCCATCTGGATACACCCATCATGATTTTGGATGTATTTTGGTATTTCCCATGGTTATGGGACAGTGAGCATGCTGCAGCTGTGCAGTTGTCAACAGAGAGAAAGCTGTTCATTGAAATGTTGAAACGAGGAAGAACTGTTGAAGGACAGATTTTGGTGTAAACATTTTCATGAAAGAATCTGACATCCAATTGAGTTGTTCTTCTTGGAAGGAACTGAGTTTTTTGTTTTTGTTTTTTAAATGAGATTGTACGATACGGGCAACATTGCAGGTTGTTGCATGTGGCAGCCTTTGTGTTGGTGGAAACAGAATTATAACACAAAATGGAACAGAAAGAAAAAAGAAAGTTGATCTAAAAGTCAGATATCCATTGAGAAAATGAATCCAGTCAACTTGCTGAGCCTTCAGTAATGCAAAGATATTCCAGGGATCTGCAAGGAGGTGCTGGGCAATGGCTCCAGCCTTTGCATTGCACAATGGGACAGTGCAGCAGCCTTCCAGCTCAATCTGCAGAAGAGCTCTTATGGAAAAGCTTTTCACGTTGGAGCCGTTTTCTAAACATTACACTGATGAATGATATGAAATGCCCTGTGAGAAATTGAAGCCTGCAAAGCTAATTCTTACAATTTAATGCAAAAATAAGGAAAAAGTGAATGAAGGAAGGAATTTTGGATAGCCTTTTAAGGATACTGTCTCACTATTGGTGGTTGCTCCTGATATGCTGCAGCCAGGACAGAAATGTCTCCATACCATTAAGTTACCAGGTTCCACACACGTCTATTAGAAATTGTAGAGTTGTCTTCCTGTAGAACATGACTCCATAATATAACAATAATATTTATTCTGTATGATCTGGTTTTACATGTTTTACTGCAGGGTCTTGAATACACAAGCTTCAATTCTGTGAAGCAGCAGAGAACACTTGGCACTCAATCTGGCACGAAGGGAATGCTTTGGCATTCAGCTGCAAAACTGGTTGCTGTTAGAGACTGCTGGCAGCTAACAGCATCGTGCTTGTTCTTCAGATGCTGTGACAGGAAATAGATTGGCACACGGGTGCTCTTGTATCTTGCCAACACAGAGGTGCTGGCAGCTTTGGTATGGTGGAAGGGAGAGCCGCAATTGTGAAGGTCAGAATAGGATGGCAGAGGCACCGCAGTACGTGGCCAGATTTTGAGCTGTCAGAAGGCTGAGAGCTTAGAGCTCTGACTTCTTAAAAGAAGCATCTCTTATAGCCAGGCACAGTATTTATGCTCTAACCTGAAGAGTATTTCTCCAGATAATAGTGATACTGATACTGTATAGGCAATCAGCAGCTGAAGCTGATGAGTCTCCAGCTGTTCTGTACTGTATTTGCTGTTAGTATGGGGGAAATATTTCAGGAATTACCTTCTACAGGCAGTAGGGGGCAACATTTCCACGAAATTCAGAGTTTTGACTATTATCAGACCTGTAGATAAGATGAAAAATAAGCACATTTTCTGCAGTTGTCAAGCTATCTGAATCTAATACCAACTTAACAATGTTAATAAAAATGCAGTTTATATTTCCTGCATTCTGCTAAGAGTAACACTTAGCCAAAAGTGCTCTGTCTTTGTTTGATAGCATGTTTTCTGAACTGCAAGAAATGTTGTAAACAACACGCAACCAATAAATGCCATAAACTTGCAGTAATTCACCACCATGTTGCTGGATGGTTTCTCTGTATTCTTTGCTCCTTGGCTTTGCTGGAATAGCTATGTAGGTATAGTCCCTAAGGGCTATGGCACAGAAAACTTAATTCCTTGACTGGCTGTCAGAGAAACAGCAGTGACCTGCATTGCTGAAGATCCTGCCCGATCCCTCAGCAGCTTTCTGACTGTTTTCTAATGAAATGGAAGCAAATTGCTGGTTTTAATTAAAGCTGACGGTGCTTTTCTCTTAGTTTATTGGTGGTGATGAATGATAGACACTCCATGAATTCAAAGTGTGATCTCTGCATGCTGAGTGTAAAGCAGGGTCATTAAGATATGTCAGAAGGCAGAGAGCTCTGGCAGGGAGGGGCAGGAACAGTATAGCCAAAGCAGATAGACAGTGATGCTGGGTTATTACAGCAGCAATGCTGTTTCTCCTGCACTCAAGGCAGGTCTTAAACTGACCTCTTAGCTCATATACATGTTGATCTTTGCTCCTCAATTATGTTAATTCACAGTTTGAATCCAGAATCCCTGTAACAACTGTTTGCTCGTCACATAATGCTGTATGTCACATAATTATCAGTATATTTTTATTTCTTAGCATTGTTTTATTTTCCACTGACAAACCTGGAAATGAAAATATTTAGCAAATGTGCACGTCTGTATGAGATGCAGAGGAATACTTCAACATTTTATTGCTTTCAGTTGTTCTGTCTCCAGGAAATATTTATTGTGCAATCCAAAATGGCGTTGTTATCCGTGAGGTCTCCTCTCTGCCTCTGGTGACTATTGCCAGGAGCAATCAGATTGTTACTCTCCTCTTCCCTTCCTCTGTCACACAAACATCAAAATACGGATGAGCCAGTACTGCAGCATATCCAAGCTCTGGCCTTTTTCTTTACCTGCTGTTTTTATCTGCTTTTCTCAGCTAAATCTTTTGTCTCTGTTCCATGCCCCTGCCCCGATTCTTGTTTTATCTCTACTTCAGCGGTGATCCCCCTGACTGACTCTGAACACAAGCTGCTGCCTTTGCACTTTGCGGTCGATCCTGGGAAAGACTGGGAGTGGGGAAAAGATGACAATGACAACACCAAACTGGCCAAGTAAGACCTTCCTGTGGCTTTAGTATGAAGCAGTAAAATGTCTTGAGCCATACCTAATCTAAGTGCTGAGAGAGCTGCTGCGGAAGGAGCTTTGTTCATGTTTTCTGGTTACATGGGAGAGGAGGCGGGAGGGTGGGTCTCCAGCTGATGGTCACAGATCAGGCTGCTGTTGTGCTGGGCAGTGTTATCTCTCCCAGATACACTTCTTCTCTCAGTGTGTTTTTGACTGTGTTTTCCTTTCTGTTTTCATCCTTAGTTTGATTCTGTCTCTTGAGGCAAAGCTTAACCTTCTACACAGCTATATGAATGTAACGTGGATACGCATACCATCTGAAACACGGGTAAGGTAAACTTCCTCCTCAGTCTAAACCAAATAACTGATATGAGGCACAATAAGGTGTTGTGTAGGGTAGGCTGCATGTCCTGGCCAGCTGCCTGGAGCCACTTGTATCCTAGCAGCAGAGACAAGTCACTTGTGGCACACCATCACTGCCACTAGGCTTGTAGATTTCTAGTGTTCTGTTTTTAAGACAGTTTCTTACATGTTTTTGCAACTTACATTCTGTTCTGAAGTGCGTTTTCTAGCTTTATCTTTCTCTTATCTATTTCAGTAGCCCCTTCAGTTCAGAAAAATAAAACAGGCATTCTTTTTTCTCAGAACCTTGGCTTGCTCTCCTAATACCACTGTTAGGTCACTAGACCCCAGCCCTTTCTCTTTTTAAGAACAGATTTGGACTCCTGGACAGCCTCCAGTGTATACTGACTGACAAAAGGCCACAGACTGGCACTGAACTGGAGCCTGGTTCTTTTAAAAAACTATCTTAGAACTATGCCCAGCTGGCACCTCATCAGCTGCAAATTTCTCTGCAAATTGCATTGAATAGATTGAGGGGTTGGTCTAAAGGCGAAAGGTTGCTAGGAGAAGATGGTGGTGATTTAGACAGCCTGCACAGATGGTATTTGAAAGGAGGAACACAACACAAAAGGAAAAAGGGTTTAACAAGCTGCAAGAGAGGAAAAAAATCCATTTTTCTATAGTTTCACCCTAAAGCAGTGGCCACCACATCAGAAAAAGGAGAGGCAAAATTGTGCTCTAATTGTAAGCTGTGAGCCTGAAACGACATGAGACCTGCGTTACCTCTCCCTGCTTCAGGGATTCCAGACAAGAGGACATTTAAATACTCAGGGACAAGAAAAGGTGTGCATTTCTTCAGTGAAGGTGTATACATCTCCAGAGTGGTTCTGTATCACTGTGGTTAGTTAAATGTTTCATATTTATCTCAAGCAGACCGATATTTTGTGATGCCTGGGTGCAAATTAAGTTTTGCAGGACTAAGTGACTGCAGACAGATTTGAAGTTGTCCTAGGATCCTGTTACTACACATTGTCAAGGAAGATACTTTATCTTACCTAAAACGTGACTTGGAACTCAGACTGCTTGCATCACTTTTATCTACATTGAATTTCCAGTAAGAGTGAGCAGACCTTATTGGTCTATGTGATTAAATTTACTATGTCAGACAAGATGCTTAGCTCTGGTGCATTGTAGCACTGATGTAAGTGGACTGGAGGCCTGAACAACAAAGAAATTAACTAAGTTGTTTTATGGACATCAGGAATTTTGAAATATTACTACAGACAGATTTGTATGCTGCACACCCCTCACAGCTTTCAGCAGAACCTTGCTAATTTTCCATCACGGTGGTATCAGTCCTCTTCTGGTCTGTCTGCCCACTGAGAGGCTGCAAGTTCTGTGGATGCTTCCAGTTCAGTGACTGGTTGCAGACACTCTGCTGGTCAGTGTAAACAGGGAGGCTGAGCTGCAGACTTCTCCTTGATGGGAGCACTGACTTGAGTCTCTCCATCACTCAGACAATGATTTTCACATAACTTCTGAATGACTGACCTCTACTCTTCAGATGTGCTTGGAGTGAGCCAAAAGCCACTGCAGGAACAAGCAAGATAGGTAGCACAGCCAAATGAGAAAGAAACCGGTAGAAAATGTCAGTGTGTGAATTAAAAAGTACACTTCTAAAGTCATTTTGAAAGTCTTCATTAGATTATAGTTTTTTGCACCAACTCCCTGTATGAAACTGCTTTTTCTGTATCTAATTATAATTAATTTTCCATAGCAGGCCCCTTTGGCTCAACCAGAATCCCCTACAGCTTCAGCTGGGGAGGACGTTCAGTCTCTGGCTGACTCAATGGACTCGGACCGAGATTCCATCTGTAGTAATTCCAACGGCAGTAATGGAAAAAACAATAAAGAGAAAGAAAAGGACAAACAGAGGAAGGATAAAGACAAAAACAGGACGGATTCAGTTGCCAATAAAATAGGAAGCCTCAGTAAAACCCTAGGAATTAAGCTGAAAAAGAATATGGGTGGTCTTGGAGGCCTGGTGCATGGCAAAATGAGCAGGGCAAATTCAGGGAATGGAAAAAATGGTGACACCATGGAGAAAGTCAAAGAGAAGAAGTCTAAGTCTCGGAAAGGTAGCAAAGAGGAATCTGGACAGTCTGCAAGCACTTCTCCATCTGAAAAGACCACCCCATCTCCTACTGACAGAGCTAGCAACTCACCCATTGAAAAGATGAACACAAAATCTTTCTCTGACAAGCAGGCTGACCCATGGAAATACAGCACTGATGTGAAACTCAGCCTCAATATTTTGAGAGCGGCCATGCAGGGTGAACGCAAGTTTATTTTTGCTGGCCTTCTTTTGACCAGCCACAGGCATCAGTTCCATGAGGAGATGATTGGTTATTACCTAACCAGTGCACAGGAGCGTTTCAATGCTGAGCAGGAACAGAAAAGAAAGGATGCTGAGAAAAAGGCTGCGTTGAATGGGTCATCTAGTAGGAAGCTGGAGCCGGAAGCGTATTCGAAAGAAAAGTCAGAAACATCTCCTCAGGATAGGGCATCACCTGTCTTGCCTCAAAGCCATACGACTCAGCTGGTTTTAAAATTTAAAGATCGCACTAGTCCCACTCCAGGGTCGTTTTCTTCACCTAGTAATGGTGCTAAGAAAAGTGGACCCATTCCAGTATCTGCCCACTATAGCCATACGCCACCTGTTCAAAGGCAAAGTGTCATCCATCTGCATGATGTCAACTCCAAGCCATCGAGCTTCCAAGATGACACTTACAAGCCAGTGGTTGGCACATTAAAAACCTGTGCCACGTATCCCCAGCAAAACAGATCACTGTCTTCTCAGAGCTACAGCCCAGCCCGGATAACTGGTATCCGCACAGTGAACACAGTGGAATCACTGAGCTATGCCATGCCTACTGAACACAAGTCTCAGACATACACTAATGGATTTAATACTGGCGACATTAGAGACTGCTTAGAATATGCTGATGAGGATGCTCCTCAGACCTGGTTGAACAATGATAAAAATCAAGGCAGAAGCACAGTTTGCCCAATATATCCCATCCAGCAGAACCGCTGTAAGAAGGATAACTGTTCCTTTTATGGTCGTCCTGAGACTGACAATTACTGTTCATACTGCTACAAAGAAGAGCTGAAGCGCAGGGAGAGGGAAAGTAAGGGACACAGGCATTGAGGATTCTTCCGTGACTATATTTAGTTTTACCATTTTCTTACTTGCAGAGTAAACAGTGTTGAATTGCAGTAAAAGGAATCCTTCGGAAAAGAATAAAGGATTGATGAGTAAATAGTGTCTAGCTTTTCGCTTTTCCTGGGCAATGAGGAAATAATAGGATTAATTTATCATAAAGAAATATATATTATTTTCCATTTTGTCAGTGTCTTTTTTACATATTCTGGGTAAGCTGAAGGGTTGTTTACTTCTTTGTCAGTGCTGTGTGTATGTTTGGTCAAAAATTTACTAATGGTGCCTGAATTTACACTGACATCACTCAGGTAGTAGTATGATAGGGGAAAGTCATAATACCGGAGATGTGGTGTTGTAGTAGGGTAGTATCTGCCTTGTAAACATTTGAGATTCTGTAGCTGTTACGAGAGTATTTTTTTCCTCAGCAAGAATAAATTTTTCATAGCTTTTCTTTCTTTCTGGAGGGTAGCGACTTTTGCATAACGCACATTTTTAACATGGCAGCATACTGCACTAGCACTAATGTTCATACTCACTTCAGTTTGAGATGGAGTGATTCTAGGAAGCTGGAAGTGGAAGGTCTGAATTCACGAGGGCTGTAGCTCTTCCTGATTTTAAGTTCTCAGCAGTTATTTGTACATGTCCATTAAAAAGTAGATTTGCGCCATTTTTACCTGTATTGACTTTGTAAACATATTTTATATAAAGACATTATGACCTGCAAGACTTCACTTCCTAAGGGGAAAAAAAAAAAAAGACAAAATTTATATAAAAAACTCAGTATAATTTTGGGCACCTGAGTCTCAGTAGCTTCTAAATTTGGAAAAAAAAAAAATAATAGTAAAATCAAAATATAAACATTGTGTTAGATTTGGAAAATTTGATGACCAGCTAGGAAATGTAGGATCAATTTAGAGCTGAATGAACTGCTTGTCAAAACAGATGTATTGCATCCCCAGATTGCTTTAGCCGTAATATAAATTTAATCGTTATTTGTTTATTCCTTTTCCAACATTGTTGACTGATAGTTACTGCAAACGTGATTATTTCTGAGCATTTCTTGAAGACATTTGACCCCACCTGTTTTTGAGTCATCTTCAGCAAGTCGTACATCTACCAGGAGGTTTCAAGATGGCTATAAAATGCCTGCAGGCACAAACGCCTTCTCCTAGCACAGATGTGCACAAGTCTGATTTCCAGATATTTACATAAGTATTTGCAGTACCTTTGAAAATAAAACTGTTCATAGAAACATTTCTGTAATGCAAATACCAGAAATGCTGTTCAAGTAGGTGCTTGAAATTAGCATGTTTTCTTGAATATTGCCTACACATTTTTATGCCATTCCCGCCGCCCACTGGCATAACGTAACAAGAGCAGATCTTTACTGTAGTTGTGCTTGTGAGCAATGGTTCATCAGCAGTGTCCCTACATTTTTTAAGCTCATTTTCCACAAGGAAATACAGCATAGCATTGCCTTCAAGAATGCTTGCTCTGTCATCTCAAGGTGTAGGACGTGAGTTCTGCCTTATGCATTACAGAATAGCTTTCTTCCAGCCTGCACCAAGCAGGTTGTTTCCCAGGGGTCGTTGTTTCTGCTGCTTTTCTGGTGTACCCATAGTGAGGGAGTCCATGAAACACAATACACAGCCTTATGCTGATGTTTCTGAAAAGCACATACATGCTTCTCATGTCCCTCAGAAATTTATGAAACTGAACACAAATTTAAAATTGACTACATGATTTAAAGAGATTTAAAGAACACTTTCAGAGTAAGTCCATCAGCTGCTCCTCAAAGCCCTGGTTGTTCCCTTGTCTGCTGTTCCATGAATCCAGACTTGTACTTCATGTCTTTGAGCAGTATATTGAGCACGCACTGGATGTCACTGAATTTGCAGCCTTTCATAAAGGGGAAGTATTGGGAAGCCTAATGAGAAATTGAAACTCATTGGGACTTCTGTCCTTAAGGTAAACAGGTTCTGAAACGTGACTCTGGTTGAATACACTGGTAAGCAGTGATCTGTTTGGGCTAAATGTGATGACATGCAAGTTCTCATTGCCAAAGAAATCCGTGGTTTCAAGTTATGTTAAAACAGGACAGAATATGTTAGATGAGACATTGGATGAGATTGTATTTGCTGTTGAGATGGATGAATCTGACAGGATAAAAGTTCATATAATAAATATTTAAGAATTCTTAGAGCATTACAGTAGTGGTTGCATTTGATGCTCTGGGAGATGTTTGTGTGAAGTTGTGCTTAGGAAACAATATAGAAGCAGCAAAGTGCACCAACCCGTGGATCTGAGTCAGGTGTTTCCTTCTGAGTGAGGAGAACAATAACAGTGCATGTCTAAAACCAAGGAATTACCATGAGAATTTACTGCTTTGCATTTTTCAAAGGAATTGTTTGTGAAGTATGTTTTTAAGACGTGCTGTTCACAACATGAAGTTTATAGAAGATCAGTATTTAGATAAAGGACTCGTCTAAGGGTGATGATGTCAGAGCCTTTGTGCCTGACCTGGCCCCCTGTCGGAACCTGTAAGTTACTGCTGAGCCCAAGCTGTACAGAAATCACTTTTGGTTTTAGAGATCCCTGTTCATTTTTTCTGTTAGCTCATGTGGCTGCAATACACATGTATTTACACCACTGTACGTGCCTTTTTTCTCTTTAATAGCAATTGGACATTATCACTGTTGCCCAGAATCCAAAAGCCTGGGTGGATGACACCCTCCCAGAACAGCTCCAGAATCACCAGGAGATCCTTAGATTGGAGGAAGCTGAAATGTTTAAAATGTGTGGATGTGCAGTGTTTAAACCTATTACGCTTTTCTTTAATTTCTTTGTAATCTCAGATACAGAGGTCTGCTCATAACACAGCAGGCCTGTAATACAAAGTGGGTTTCAGCTTTACATTGAAGTTCCATTTAAAATGCTCTATAAGGAGTTAATAAACTTTTGCTAGACTTTTCAGATGTGGGTGTCAGTGGTTACAGACGGCTAACAAGCAGCTCATTCAGAAGAAGGTGGTATAGGTTACCAAAAGCAACTTTTAAATTTTTAAGTGATTTTTAAATGATTGATTAACCTCTTGTTAATATAATTCATTATGCTTTATAACTGCAGTGGGAACAGTGTGTGTGACCCAGATTCCTTTAGCAGTTACTTCCTTCTTTTTAAGTCAAAGGTAACATGAGAAGCATCAGTGAAAGAAAAATGCTGTATTTGGAGATTGCATTGCTTATTTCTTAGTGCATCTAAATAGGCCAAGTGAAGTCTTCAGGGTCATCTTTTCTAAAATCACAAAAACTCATTATATGAGCAGTGTCACTTGATAGAGAAAGCGTTGAGGAGAGATGCTTAACATGGGTTTGTGCACCATTTGACTGCAGATCAAAGCAGTCTGCTGAGGCAATATACATACAGGCATATTCAGGGTAATCTACTTCTCTTGTGATGATGAATGTGTAGATATCAAAAAATGCACAGCACAGATCTGACAAAATACTGCCCTCCAACTCCCTGATTCTGCAAACAATTACACTGGTGCTCAACTTCACCAATATGAACAGTCTTCCTGACATAAAGGAGACTGCTTATTTTCAGAAGCTTAACGTAACTGTTAAGAAACTTAGCATAGAAGTTGGTGGGATGGAGGCCAGAGCCCTTCAGCCAGCGCTTGTTCTCAGGCTGCTTGTCGGTGCTCTTCCAGTGAGAGAATGGGTGAGAATCGTGCCCGAGGAGCAGAGGGATGCTTCAGGCCTTTGTGGGCTGTATCTGCTGTCCTGTGAAATCTGCAGACAGAATGCCATTAGTAGAGGGGGCCTTAAGTCAGGTGCTTCACGGACGCTTAAAATACTTGCAAGCTGGATGTGAGAGCAGAGTATGAGCTAGCACAGAACTAAAGTCTTCATAACACTGGGAATGCTCTGCAGTTAGGAACCTGTGTGTTGACAGATACCACAATGATCTCAGACAGGCAGAGGTCCAGGGAAGCAAAGTAACTGATGCTGATTGTGGATGGTTTTTCTGTTTTGTGTATTTAAGTCTGTCAGTGTATTTGAAGCGTATTTGTTTTAAGGTATGACAGCTTACAGAGAGGATCACCAAAAGGTAGACAGCATAGAACTTAAACTATTTCGGTGTCAGGCACTAATCCCTCTTTTAATTTGCACATTAATTTCCTACGTACGTGACTAAAAATACTGTATTGTTATAAATGAGAGGAAAAAACCGCAGTGCTGTTTGTAAGTATGTTCTGTTTGTAGACTTCAGGCTGTATTATGTTGGAATTTTACAAGCCAAGTTTAAACTGTAATATAGAAATTATTTTTATATTATTTTCAAAATACGCTACAGAGCAATATTTTGCGCCTTTATTATAAACAGGGTCATCATTTTAGTAGGTTACCTTCCAAAGTGCTGGTAGAAATCAACCACGAAAAGAAAGCTTTGTAAAAATGTGTGTGTTGTTTCTAACTGCTGTCTGTTGTGCACATCTGTGTCTAATGAGAGTTGAATATACAGGTTTTTTTCTTAATTGAAAAGCTTTAAATTTTTCTTTATATATTTTGGTAAAACCCTGTTCCTCCCTATCTCCTTCTGCTCTTCCTTCTGGTCGCTACCAGTAGCCACTTTTATACGCAGCTTATGAATAAACATTCACCTGGAAAGTTTTCTTACCAAATGAAGCGTTTCTGCACCAATACTGACTGACCCAGGATGTTGGTAACATACTCTGCATCCACTGATGTCCGATAATTTTGCTTTTTAGAAAGATGGAGTCTTGGGTTTACCGTTCCTTGCGATTGAAAATCAAGGCGTAGTAATCAGTGCAGTGATTTAGCATCTGTGGGAAGAAAATCGCTATAGGTCATAGAGGTGTCATCTTGTAATTGGCAGATTGTATCTGAATATATTTGGAATGTGTTGCCTCCTTGCAGATTAAGGTGTGCAGATTTCATTTCTTCATGGGTTTTGTACTGTACGTCCCAAGTACTGGTGAGTCATCCAAAAAAGGACTTTACGAACTGAGGCATATTTTAAGTTGGGAGTTGGTACAGATTTTAGAATTCTAACTTTTGTGATTTTGTTTATTTGCCTTTTTTTTTTTTTTATAATGAATTTCCTATTAAGTTATGTACTCCAACCAAAAAAGTAGAATCTGGATGCCTGATGTGACAATTCTGCATACAGGTTTCTCCTAATAAACAGACTGGTTTTAAGGTGGACTGAGCATCAGTTTCTGGGGGAGCACAAGCTCTTGGCTCCGGAAAATCAGGGGAGCATTACTCCAGCACATATCCAGGGTTTTGCTTTATTTTTCTGCTTATTTTTACTCAGTGTAAATTGCATTTTATCTTCAGTGTTTTTCCATGTGTGAACAAATAATTGGGCTTATTCATAGGGTGATTGCTTGCCTATGGAGAGACTTGCTTTGTACCAAAAGACCATATTGTTATACATTAACCTACTGCAGTCAAAACAGGGCTAGCGTATTCCACTGATGTTCCTGGGTAGTGTACTCACTCTGATTTTTTTCCTCTCAAGTAAATACACTGTTCTGATTGCTGTTTTATCTCCCATTACCTGTATGCATGTACTGTATCAAGAGAATTGAAATGGCTGATGCACATTTGCACTGTGGAACACGTGATTTGGGTAAAAGCCACCAGGTTCCAAACAGCCTTAAAATTATGACTCTCTGGGGACCAGGAGTCACTTAACTGGATGCAGCCTCTGCCCCACTTCTCATTTAGTCATGGCTGTAAAGCATTCTAGCTTGCTGTGCTCTGCATAAGCATCTGCATATTCATCCAAACAACCCGTTACTTTAAAAGACGTTTTTCTTTAAAGACTTGCAGTTCTTTATAAGAGTCACTGTGTCAGAAGACCTTACTCAACATAAGCAACAAGGGTAAAAGCAGGTGCACGTTGGGCAGCGCAGGAACCCGGCACCACAGTACTGCAGAAGGGAAGGTTGTGTCAGGAACCATTTCCTTTCAGGACTGGAAGTGTAGATCTTTGTGTGTCCTGGGAAAGCAAAGGAATGTTGCTTTGCTGTTTATCTTTGCATAGTTGAAGCATCTTTGCATGTTGAAGCCTGATGCTTTGATGCAGAGGTTTTCCCTTTGCCAAAAAGCAAATTCTGCAGCGTCAACACCATCTGAGATGACAGAAGTATGAACCAACGTTAGAACCAGGCAGTGCCTGAGGAGCCCCTGTGTGAGTGCTGTCTATTTCATTTTCCTTTTCCCCTTTCTTTCTTTCTTCTTCTTTTTTTTTTTTTTTTTTTAAGCGGAAAATTAAAAACTTGAAAACTGGTATGATAATGACTTCTTTTGTTCATGTGCAAAATCAACGTGAACATGAAAATGGCTTTAAGGCTGGGGCTGCACTTTCAGGGAGCCAAGCAGTGAAAGGCTTTTTTTTTTTACTTTTGAGGTAAATCCCATGGAATTGTTTTGCTACGAATGAAGTTGGGATCCTTTGGCGTAGAACCTTTGTCCAGTGTGCAGAGCCTGGCAGTGTGTCAGGAGCCTGAGAGCCATGGCTGACCCAGACCAAACATGGTTCCTTCTGGCCCATGGTGGCTGAGCCGTGCCTGCAGTGCAGATGGTGTGGAACACTGCCTTGTTGTTGCCTCCAGTTTTAACTAACACGAAGCCTCTTCCCCGTGCTTTTGTTTAAAATATGCAGGAGATGTCAGAGCAAACCATGGTGTCTCAGGCTAGGAGAGTGCCCAGCATCTCTTTGTAGCGGGCTTGCAATCAGGTATAAATTGAAATACAGCCATGTAGGCGTGGTAGAAGCGCTCTCGTCTCTACCCTTTGCAACTGTGTGCACTTCTGTTTTAATACTAGCAGATATCAGGCAATGATTTTATTATTTAATTGTCCAAGGTTCCAAGTACTGTAAATACAGTCTTTGTGGTATGCACGTACAGTACACAGAATGCTTTCCCTTGGAGCCTCTCAAGGAATGTTGCACGTACATAATATCAATCTCAATTGATTCAACATAAACCAAGGAAAAGAAACGGGGCTTAAGCCCAAGTTAAATAATGAATGGAATCAAACCCTCAGACCTAAGCAGCGAGGAGTTCCCAACCGTAGTAATCCAGGTCAGCTTTGACAGTTTTGTATAAAACTCTGTCCAAATGATCTAGATTAGGTCCGTGCTCTCTCCTGGAGAGGAGCATTTACTTTGTGTCTTTTTCAAGCCCATTGCTCTTAACTCTGGGAACTCTGTACTGCATTCATGATGTGCCAGCCTTATCATGATTCAGCTATGAAACAGTTTTTCAAAACTGTGCAACTCTTGCATTCCTATTGGAATCAGTCTAGAGCTTTATTTTGCATTCAATTTTAAGAAATAAGATACGGTTACAAACTTCTTGTTATGTCTCAAAGTTAACTTTTGCATGGCAGAGAGGCAGTGTTCTCCTTGGAAGGCTTGGTTCCTCCTCATTGATTCTTGTGACTGATGTGTTTGTGTGGAAAAAGTTGAACGAGATATTGAAAACATTGGTGTAGTTCATCTGTATTTCTGATATCCAGTAGGCTTTGTGTTACACGATTCTGTATTAAAACCTAATGCCTTTCAGATAGGGGTAAATCTTGTAGGACAGTCCAAATTATTATACGCAAAAGGTATGAGTAGCTAATTGATCACAACTCTATTATTGTATAATTTGCTCTCCCCCAATTTTTTTTTTTTTTTTTTTTTTTTTTTGCTACTGCTAATGTTTTCTTTTTATGTTCTGCTTCCTGGACAAGTCTGAAAGCTCTTTGTTCTCATTTGTGCAGGATACTTTTTTAAACCTCTGCTACATTTTCCCTCTCTGTTCAGTTTGCATACAGCTTGTTTCCACAAACAAGATTTGAAATAGCACAGATGTCACACTCCATTTATAGAAGTTCATTTACTCATTTATTGAGAGTCTCTCTTCAATTATAACCATAGCTATTTATATAAAATAAAGAAAAAAACAGGACAGGTAATATGTGACTCTTTCTAAGAACCTAGCAAACCAAGCTGTTTTAAAACTCAAGCATTGTGTTTGCACCATCACTGTATATCTCAAAGAAGGGTAGTTGGCTCTCACCAACACTTAAGTAAACATTAATAAGGAATAAAGCAAGCCTTGCTGATTTATTTTGGTTAAGAATTCAACTTCTTGGTGTAGTGGAACCAACCTTGTTTTTCAGAGCTTGTGTTTCAGTTTCTTACGTCTTCTATATATTTATACTCTGCTAGCAAAGATTGATTTAGGATTTCAAAAAACAGTTTAGTAAGGTGTATCTGAAATGTATTTAAAGCTGAAGCGCCTTTTTAGGTTTGTCTGTATTTGATCATTTTCATGCAAGACTTTTATTACGTGTGGAAGAAATGAATTTGTCTTTTCCCATTGCCTTCCCTAGTCACAGTTCCAAGGTGTGGTTGGTTGGAGTCACTTTTGCCTGCAATGAAAACTTTTGGTCATTTTTAAGCTGACTGCCATGTATTTCAATCCATTGTTCAAAGGAAATGAGCATTCAGTAATGTTAAAGGATAATGAGTATGTTTTGTTGTGAAAAGTGTGAGTTCTTGGGAACCTTTTCTACATGCAGTTTTCATTCTAATTCAATTTAAATGTCATTTTTAATCTGATCCATACTTTGACAAAGATGATGTGTAAGAGCTGTTTTTAGCAGTTGGATTGTTCCTTTGTAAAGTATTAAAGCACTAAACCAATTTTTGCAATAGGTAGTAAAACTTGCTTATGTTTTGAAAAACTTCCAGTTATAACTGTCGCACTTTTTATAGCAGAACTGTATTTAATTTCTTTCTTTTATGAAAGATTACTCCAAGTAACTGATAGCTCTGTAATCTGTGTGAATTGACTTCTCCATTATTTGAAACAGAGAGAAGCTATAATGCCTATTCAATAAAATTAACTTATTTCTAAAGTATCTGTTTGCTCGAATTCTTGGTTGTGCTTTTTGTCTACTCTCCTTAGTGTACGTAGGGGAAACTGAAGCATGGAGGAGAAGCACGCAGGGGGCATGCTGCAAACCAGTGGGGTTTTAATTGGCTCCTCATGAACTTTCATTCTCTTTCTGTTAAGTCACTGTTTCATTTCAAGATTAATTTGTGTAAACTAAATAATTGGCAAAAGCCAGAAATCAGGCACTGTAAGGTCTGTTCAGCTTTTTTTAATGCTCCCAGCCCCATGGCTGGAAGGACACGAGGCTTCCCCATGCAAGGAGAGCAGTGCTGCAGCACTGTGCTGGGCTCTGAGCTGTGGCTGTCCTCGGGGGGGCAATGCCTGGAGGTGACCTGTGTCATCAGGGCAGATGGGGCCTGTGTGGAACAGCTGTTTTGGAACTAGAGTTGGTTGGTTTGGGTAAGTGCAGAAGAAATGATGTTGAGATGTAGTATGTTATTTAATGGTTAATTAACCTCTTCTCTAAAAACTTGTTTCTGGTATGAATTTGCATGGCAAACATCTGCCTTTGGGTCTCCTTGTTGCTTGTACTCTGTGCTGGGCCCCTTGTGTGTCAGACTCAGCTTTCCAAGGCTGTTGCATAAGTGTATTTCCAGTTCTGTAACCTTCCTCGTGCCTGTGCTTTGACTCTCCTCCTGCTTTTTAACGCCTCCCTCGAGCTGCAGATACCTGAATTACACTGAAAGATTTTTTCTGGAGTGCAGTCCAAATGAACAGGAATTAATTCAGGCAGACCCTGCTGCAGACTGCATTAACAGGTGAGTCCATCATTGCAGCGTCTAAGTTAGTTTCTAGTCCTGTGTGTATATACATAATTCATAGTATATGTTTCAGTACCAGTTAATTTTTTAACTGAAATATTGTGCATTTATGCCCAAAAACGTCTGCAGTCTTTCTGGGCTTAAGATGTGCAAGGAATTCTGCTTTAGCCACCCTTTGATGGAGTCTTTTTCCTGAGCAAGAGCTCAGTCCACCTGGTGAGTAAGGGGGTGAAATTTATCTTTCTAAAGGTCTGTCTTAATCTTTATTCTATCAAACAGTTTGTACCCAGTTTACCAAGCAGTCTAGATTACTCTGTATTAGGATCCTGTATTTTACTAATATTATTAATAATTCATTAAAGTGCCTTTCTCTGATGATTGATAAAATTATTTGTTATTGTGGGGCTGGCCATTGTGGGTTGGTGTTAAAGTGTTTATCAGTTAACCTCCTAATCTTTTCAGGTATGCTAAAAAGCTTTGAGTGGTCATAAGTTTTATAACTTTTTTTTTTCATTTTATCATTCTTTCATTCTTTATTAAAGTTCTTTATTAACCATTTTAGTATTTTGCTCATGTTCCCAGTACATTTTTACCTTCAGTTGCTGTTTGATAACCTCTTTGAACTGGATATAAATCAGGTAATAAAATAGCTTCCAAAACAAAGTTCCAAATCTTTGAACACACCTACCCGTTCTGCAGATCTCAAAGGTTTCCATTGGTTTCCATGCACCAGTGTGCTAACCCACCGTTAGGATTTCCTTCATCCCTAGCACAAACGTACTGGACCTGAAGACAGACAGAAGATAAGGATCAGTGGTGTTAGGAACCTGCTCCCACCTCTACATTTGCAGAAGAGTTGTCTTGACTGGTGAGACTGGACTGCATTGAGTAGTATAGTGGAAATGGCTTAGGATTGTACTAATGCTGTTCAAGGTTACTGCTCTTACCAGGAACAAGTAGTAGAAATGTTTACAGGAAAGTTCCCTGGAGCTTGACAGCTTTATATCTCTTCTCCTTCTGACTGGTACTCAGAGCAACACTGCTATCTGACAGGGGAGAAGGCTTGGGGATGGCACAAGGATAGATTCAGGGTACAACTTGAACTGCAAACTGGGAGACCTTTCCAGTAGAGGAGAGCTTCCCATATGTTGTACATTGTATATTTTTTATCAGAATAGATTTCTGTCAGTTTGACTTCTTGAACCAGCTTCTTGCAGGATTGTGTGAATGCCAGCACTGGCACAAAGGATGCAATAGAAGCAGAGGTGGAGGACTGCAGGACAACTTCCTTCAGGCCACTTACATAACACACCTTTCAGATGGGGGAGAAGATGAAATAATAGCCAGAGAAGGAGGGATGCGGGGGATAGGAACTTTTGATTCTATCTGCTGGTGCAGACGTAATCTGAAAGTAAGCATCCAAGCTTGCTTGAAAATAAAACATGAAAAACTAAGCCCTCCAGAGGTAGTGACTCAAATCTAACTCTGCATGTGATATGTCTAAAGCACTTTATAAATCTCTTAACCAAAATATGTTGCTATCTGAACTGGAAATACTTTGAAATATAACACCTTTGAGTACCTAGTAGAGCTATTTGTGCACTTATCTTCAAGTGCTAGTTTCTAGGAATATTGTTCTTATATGTAAGGATATTGTAATATTAAATTCAGCTTGCCTTGCTGAGTGATTCTGGGATTATGTTACCTTTATTGCAGTGGTACACAAAATAATTAATCAATAATTCATCTCTCCTTTTTTAAAATTGATTTAGAGGCTACAATTGTGCAGTAGTGCAATATGATCTGATTCCTGCATCCACCCAGAGCTGTGTGAATTCCACCAGTGCTGCAGGAAAACCCAGGGCAGACTCCTTTGAAAAACTGGAATTTGCACTCATAAACACTTCAAGATGTCCCCCTTACATTAAAGCAATGTAAGGCACTGCTTGTAGAAATCTAGCCTTGGTTGTCTTTTCTGGTGAGCACCGCAGTCAAAATCCAAACACTCAGCTTCCTTCTGCTTGTGTTGGAGACGTGTTTCATTTTTTACTGTGGAGCTACCATGGGTGAATGGATACAGAAGTTTTGAAAATAGCACTCTGATTCGTCCTTGTCTCTCATCTCATCCATAAGAAGTTTAAATGAGGAAAAACAGTGCTCATAAGGAATGGTTTATCTGGAGTCTTCCTGTAAAATGGCTGTGCTTCAATGAACCTTTCTCGCACGGTTTCACTGTGCTGACCACAGTTACCAGTAGTACACAGCTTCTCATCTGCTGTGGGGATGCAGGAGGCCCTGCTGCCATCAGTGGCCACTGCACAGAAACAGTGAAAGGTGCCCATGTCTGCAGAATGCTGATACAAAAAGAATTCTCCTCCGCCTGCTGACTTCGTTCAAAGCAATTTCAATTTTCTCCCGTGAAATTATTTTCCTCGCCAAACTAACCAGCATCTGTAGTTGCTACACAACTTACTATTAGTGCTGCTTAAAGGCAGAGGTAGTATCTTTGCTACAGGGAAAGTTATTTTAATTATAATATTTTAAAAACAATTTTTCAAAAACCAATTTTTCATTTGATTTGTTTACAGGTGGCTCAGTCAAACCCCATGTGTAGTTGGAATATGTTTCTGAAAATCAGGGGTTTTTTGAATCTTCATCTGAGCCAGATTTCTAAACCTTGGGATGTATGAGATCAGTAAATTGCAGGAGAAATTACTGATCAGGTGAACTTTCCCCTGGCAACAGAGAGCAGCTCTGTAGTCAGAATGGTTAGATAGTGTGTAATATATTGGTTATCTGACTGTAACTAGTTAGCCTGAAAAGAAGTTTTACAACATGAAATGTAAGTGCTAACTTGATTTTACTTGAAATGAAGAAAAAAAATATATGTGTCATAGTGCTGTGCAGAATAGTAGCAAATTTAATTTCTTCATTCTACAGGACATCATCCTCAGGATGCTCAGACTTATAACAAGGTTGAAAACTGCAGGAGTGACTGGAATGAAAGCCAAGGAGACCCAACAGGCTGTAACTCCTCCACAAGGTTCAACAGCATGTAAGTCGTGACATGTGTAAGGTTTTCTGAAAAGTAAAGGCACGTACATCAGACTTCATCTGCCAATTGTAATACAAATCCTGATCACTGAATTGAAAGAAGTAGGAAGAAAGTGGTCCAAATGGCAGTGCCTAGTGTAGGCCCCTAATTACTAAAATGTTTCAATTAGTAAGTCTGTGATTATAGTTACTGCAGACAGACCAGAAAGAACTGCCTTCTTAAGTCCCTGCCCTCACAGGGTGTGTAGGAGCAGCAAGCAAGCTCTTTGGCACAGTTATAGAGAAAACAAGCATCCACCCTGGCCCCATGAAACCTTCTGTTAGACCTCACAGATGAGCCTCATCCTCTCCCTATTTCCACAAGTCTGTGTCCATGCTGTTCAAAATTACATTGCCTGAACCTCCTTCCTCCTGAGGCAGGTGCTGCTGTCAGCTCAGTCTGTCATCTGCTTTGTCCCTGGTTGTGTCCCTGGCTCCTGCCCCAGAGTGACTGCTGACAGCTCAGATAGATTTTGATAGAAGATAGATTTTGCAGCAGCAGATTACATGCGCTTTCTGTTGTGTGTTTCACCAGCACAGTCATTTTGGCATACTGATAAATGCAACATAGAAGAGTCCAGTTAGATCTGAAGTTTAGTTTCCTGCCCAGGGAACGAGGCATGCTTTTGGTGTCTCTGCTCTAGAACTGAAGGTAAGTGTGAAACGCTGGAGTTAAGAAGTGATGGGGATAAAATCATGGGGAAATTGAAGTGTCTCTTTTTGCAGTGCTTATAGGTAATGCTCTCCAGTTAACATCATTTATGTGAACAGAAGAAGAGCCATGAGTTTAATGGGCATCAGTTGCTTGCAAAATCTGTCACTGATGTCTTGTCTCCTCTGCAGGATTCTAGAAAAACAGAAAAATGTTCCAACTACAGGATTTTGTGTGTTGACAGGTGGTTTGTTTAAGAAGTATTGCTTTCCTTCTTTAAAGAAAGTTTTTAACTACAGAAATTATCATGAAAAAAAAGATTTTTCTAGGCAGAGCTCTGGGAGATGCCCATGGGGGTCAGTGGCTGTGTCTCGTTTGCTTCTTGTCACCCACGAGTCGGATGAACTTCCTGAGCTTATTTCCCACACTGCAATAAAAGCTGTTGCTGTGTGATGG